ATAAATCATATCGTAAATATCACACAATACACGAAAAAAAAGGTTTCTAAGATTGTAAGGTAAACAAACGCGATAAATACCGAAATGTAATAATAATGATGATGATGATGATGATGATGATGATGATGATGATGATAAGCGTGCAATTTAAAATAAAATAATTGATATATTTACTTATAAAGCTACTATAAAGTACAGGAATATCACAGCTGAAAAAGGAGAAAATATTTATACCAAGAGCCTTTACTTACAATAATAGACTCTTCTCCCTTATTTCTTTTAGCGGGATCAAGTGATATTTTTGGAACTGGCATATTATGACCTTTTATCCAAGCTGATGCATTGTTTTGAGCAATACAACCCGTTGTATCGGGATATATATCTGCGTGGAAATCTCTATACGTCTACGGAAAAGTGTAAATTATAGTATAACCAAGACGGCGCGAATGAAACAAAACAAATATACTTACTTTTCTTGGAACCTGATACATGATAGGGATCACCATGTTAGATGTAAGCTGTAATAGTCTATTAACTTCTGCTTGCATAACATTTAATGCTCGCTTTGGCACTAAACATACACCTTTAGTTTGTTCTCCACTATGGCGAATTCCTTCAACCAGGAATGGGTCCTTATCCATAACTTCCATATACATAATAGTAGTGTCTCCTTTTCCAGCAAGGAAAAGCATGTTTGTGTCAGGATCGAAAAGAGGCATTAAAATTCTATAAATCATAATTCTTATAAATTATCTAGACCAATTACAAATAAAACTAATGCGTTGTTCAAGTCTTACCCGGTACTGCAATCCAATTCTAATGTTTTGACTGGTTCACTCAAGTGTCTTAAATCCCTTATATAAACCTGCCTAAGCCTTGCTGCATCAAAACCTGTAGTCAATATCCTTTCACTATTGTTTAGCCAAACAATTCTGGAATCTTTAATACTTTGATGACTTGAGCAAGAATTAACGATACAAGTATTGGCACGAGGATCTATAATCCTCACTTGTTTATCTTTGCACGATGTTGCCAAGAGTACACCATCTTGTTTCCAACTTAGAGACTGAATGACCTCTGTGTGTTCATTATTGGCTATAATACAAAAAGGTTGACATTAAATACATTGCAAGTATTATTGTACTACAATTACTCTTTAAACAAATATTATAGTTTCATTACAAAATAGTTCTTGCTGTGAAATCACATCCCACAGAGATAAGTTTGTGTAAGATACTGTTGTGAGAAGGTGTTCAGCTGCAGGATGCCAACACACTGCTTCTACTCTTCTCTGACGGTGCGAGAATGTACATTCAGGATTGCACAAAGATTCTTCTAAACCAGTTTCTGGAATATGCCACAGCTTCACCTATAAGCCAAGATTACCCCTAAGTATTATTGAAATATTCTGGATGATAAAATAAACTAAATAATCATTGGTAATTGTAACTTACAAGGCAGTCTTGAGATCCAGTAGCTAATAAACCATCGTGAAATGGAGAAAAATCCATGTCTGTTACTGTATCCGCATGAGCATGTAATAAAGGCATAGTTTTGCTTTTTCTACCACAATCTTCTAATGGTAATACAGCAAGACTAGATCCTGCATAAAAAAATGTATAATAAATAAATCAACACGTTAAATGGAACATATAAAGATAACAGAATTGAAGATAATACCATTATGATCAACATTAAATGCCATGAAAGCAGCTGATGCCGCTATGTTGTTGCCATAGGTTTGATAAGATCCAACTGATATGTCCCGAATACATGCTTCTGGTTTAGGTACAATCGGTGCTGCATTCTTATATTTAGATGCTTTGAAACGCCAAGCCATTTTGACGTTCTTCAGAATATAAATTTAAGGTGAATTTCCACTTAAACCATGTAATCTGATAACAATACCATTAAATTTCAATGCGTACTTCACTTTTTACTTTCTATTGTGTAAGTCTATTAATTCTATTTGTATTGTAAAAACAATTAAAAAGTGTAAATTGGGATACATTTATTATCAATTATTGGCTTAAATTGGGCAATAGAACGGATAACTAATGTATAATGAGCTTGTTTAGAAGACCACGCTAGGAAAGGGTATTGACACTGATGCAAAGCTGTGCATGACTAATAATTTGGGGGTGAGAACCACCCCACCCTTAATCGTATACTTTCGTAAGTAACAACATTGACAGTCGAACGGAGACTCTTGCGTGTGAAAAAGTGGATTAGAAAGGCCCTGTTACTCACATGCCGCTGCTCGGCGTGGCTTCGCACGCTTTTCACTAAATATTATCACGCAATTAAATTGAACAAGTACGATCAGACAGTATAAACACACTATGGCAGGTAGGCGTCTCTGATCTCGACGTCTGACAGGCGGAAACAGGAAAACCCCCCTCCCAGGGACATCTTCTATCTCTGTCGATCCCGAGCAGCGACATATAGTATATTTCCAAAGAAATAACATGCAATTTGCTAATAAACTCAATTAACCATTTTTATTCCCAACGCAAACTTGGAACGATCAAATGAAATGTTATCGATGATATATTCTACGGAACGTAATTACGATAATAGATAGCGTTTAATCATAAGATTATTTAAATTATGGAAAGAAATATCGTTTGGTAAATTTCGCTTGAAATGTGAAACATATGGACGCGTATAACATTTGTAAAGATCAGAACAATTCTCGATAAAAAATCTTGGATAATTTAAGATATTTTTATTGAACAGCATATTGTTCAGAGTAGGTACAACGTTTTGTTAAGTCACCCTATATATATGCGGCTACGTTCCGAAATCAGCTGCGAATACTGACAATATGTACCTTTGGTTGTCCCCATTTCAGCTATACTTGGAGGAAGCAGCGGTGATTTCAGCGTTCTTACGTCACCTATGTTGCGAATAATTTTTATCTTTATTTTTCTATAGTACATTTATAATGTTTATTCAGGGACGCATCGATACTTCAATCAAGCTGTTTCCTTAAATCCCCGTAAAGAGATTCTATAAATCGTACAAATCTCCATTAATTCGCGCAAACGCAGAATCACTCACATGTAAATATTTTTGTATGCGTTTACCTACAGAGGGGTTAACGTGTACGAGTCTTTTTTACGAGTTTTTTAAAAAAATGTAATAACAAATGTAATAACCATTGCCTTTATTCTCTCAGTAAAGATAATTGCAATAATGGGATCACTTTTAAAGAAGACAAATCCGCTAGGACAGCCTGGAAATATAAAAAAATTGTCAAAAAGAACCCTTTAGTTAGAAATAAAAGGAACCTCGATTAAAGTCTCCTTACTTCCACACTCTGAAGAGTGTTGACTTGCATCAGATTTTCTTTTCGAAAACTCAAAATGGCCACAGCGAGCAAGGGGATAATTTCCAAAGAATCGTAGCCGAGAATCGAGTCCCATAAGAAAAGCAACTGTTCCGGGGGTAGGTGGCCACTGAAACCCCTCATAATCCACTTAAAGACAACTTTAATCCTGCAAGCATGACATTAATTAAATTAAATTCACGATTCTCTGGTGGACATTCGACTTACGGTTGTATATGGCAGTTTCTAAAGTGAGTCCAAAGAAGGGGTTCGTGGCACTGGAGCAATCTTTCGAAAAGAAGGCACAGCGCGACTATACCCTGTTCGTGATTAGACACGGTGTGCAAGCGGAACCAGTATCGTAAATAAAAGGCTCTAAACGTAAAATACATTGCGCAAGGATCGTCGTACAGATAACAAAACGGAGTGGCTAGCAGATTAAACATTAATTAGTCATTTCAATGGAACTACTTCTTAGAACGATTAATTTCTTAAACTGTCTCTCGTACCGTACATCGTGAATCCATGGAATGGAATCACGCCGCTCGGTGGAAACACCAAAGTATTTTCCAAGGTGGCTGGTTTCCCTTGCAAAACTGCGTGTATCACCTGACCGCCCGCGCTTCTGTCAGTGGTCACGGGCGCTAACACCTCCGAGTCACGGGAGAAACATAACATTGTTTTATACAAAACATCCTCGAATACAAAATATTGGTCGTCGTTTCGTGCCGTCAACTGCACATCCTAAAAGAACAGGAGAATGTTACCGATTATTCTATCCTGATAAATTATAATAATCCTACCTTTATTATTAAGTTATCTATAACTATGTCGTACTGTAGCACCATGCTCTTTAATTCTTCGTAATACTCTACATCCTGGAAAAACAATCAACGGTGATCACGATCGTTCTACAACAGCGACGAGAAATTAGTACATTTCGCAGTAGTATATTTTACTCGGCTAATATTTCTCAATCGAACAGTCGCCCTAAAAGGATAAGACGTTGCTGAAAAGAAGTGAGCGTTATTACATTTTCCTTGACTATAGATCCCAATACGAGGGACCACAGGCGTCCTCGAAGCGATCGCGGGGCCCCACGCTTCAAGAACTCTTGCGCAATTGGAGCATGATTAGATCGCAACACCTTCTCGCCCAGATGGATCCTCTCCTCTTCCAGATTCCCATAGTTCTCTGAACTGTGCAGCTCTGGATTCACTCCCAACAGCGGCATCCCTTTCGCGAATTCCACGTAGACGCGTCTCTGTTGCATCAAAGCGTCGTTTCATTGTTAAGTCCCTTGCAAACCCTTCTCTTTCTTATAGGTACTAAAGACAAACCAACTGTGCAAGAGTCTTCACGCGGATCTGTATATGGCTGAACTCCCAATTTAATTCGTCTCTGGAACATTGTTCGTGCGATTCAAAAGTTGGAAGGAACGTTTCGAATTAACAATAGGCGTAAGAATAAAATGAACGTGTACGGTTGCTTTTTGAAAGAGGGATTCCGTATAGCGAATAAAACGTCTAGGAAATCCTTTGGAGCGTATAGCGGCCTGAAGTGTGACAAGTCTAAAAAGATAACAGAGAATATTAACAAATATAATATAAATAATATAATATAATAAGTAATATATAAGTAATATAATATAATAAGTAATATATAAGTAATATAATATAATAAGTAATATATAAGTAATATAATATAATAAGTAATATATAAGTAATATAATATAATAAGTAATATATAAGTAATATAATACATATATATTATATTATTATTTATATATTACTTATTACATATATAATTCTCATCGTTACTAGTGCAACACAGTAGGGTCACGTGTTCATTCGTACGAGCTCGTATTTAATCTCATTAAATTTACCGATATCGTAGGTACTTAATTCATTCCACTTTTCGGCAAGCTCCTCGCGGTCCTCTCTGGGACGTATTCGAGCCAACGCGACGTTCAATTCGTTGCACGTAGAATTCAGCGATTTCTGTATTCGGCGTTCCCACTGGACCTGAGCCTTTTTTAAATAATTCAAATCGACTTCCTCCACGGACGGCAGCGACGACGACGACAAGGAACTCTAATAATAGTTATTTAAAAAAAAAAGAAAAAGATACAATATTCAATTATTTCATAGAATTACGTTGTTATTATTGTTTGTTTCGCTGAATGTCATTAGGTAGCATTATTTACAATATAGAAATGTTTTCGAATAATCATTGTTTAATCGAGGGAATTGCAGTAATCGAATTTGACCGGGGTCACCGGTGACCCCCAACGCATTCAACGTAATTTACAGGAAAAACGGAAAACCTAACGGATATAATTTAATAGAAATTTGTATTTGGATTTATCTGGTTCAACCGAGATTTAATTTAATATATTCATTAACTTTGAACTATCGATTTGAAATATTTTCGAAAATTCAATTTACGAACTTGAGATCTGGCCCAATGGAAGACCGTGTTACGAATTTCCGTTTCCAAACCGTTGCTTTTCAAAGCATCCATTAATGTCGCTTTGAAATCTCCCCTCTTCACTGCCGTGGAAGCAACGAGTTTCTGCGAAAAAAAGAAAAGTAACTGATCGTATTTAGAAATTGTTGAGAACAGCACAGGACGCATTGTAAACTCGGTAATTGTTTACTTGTATCTCGGTGTAAAGACTTTTATAGTTGGCCATGCTCTGTATTTCTTCGGTTAATCTCTCGGCCGACTTTTTCTGTACCGTTTCCCAAGATTCTCCTTTATTCTCTGACATCGCGATGAATTTTCGAGGGCATTCAATGAATACAACAATTTTTCTCGTGGATAAATCTGAAAAGGAGCGCCATTTGTAAATAAAGTCGTTTCCGCAATCGTGGCGGGAAAAGAACGACTGTTTTGAATGGCACGCTTGTTGGTTAGTTGCAGCAGTTTCGAATTCTTTGATTTTTTCGATAGTTTCCGTTCGAAAAGTCTCATTTGATTTTCGGTAAGACTGGAAACATATAGATAATGAAACTAGGGAATTGAAAAAGCAACTCTCTATAGGGATTTCTTAAATTTGACATTATATTTGAAATTGCTTTTCAGAGATGTTTCGACGAGAGTTTCCAACCGTTTCTCGTTTCGATTGTATAATCGAGATCTCGTAGCTAAGAAATGGGGTCTTCTCCCTGGATGTCTCAGACTTTTTCCGATAGAATTCGAATGAACCCATGCCAAAAACTCAGGTTGACGCGCTTGCAGGAAAATGGCGGCGCGATAACCTGTGTTTTGAAACGTTTTGTTGAACCTAGTCGTGGTCGGAGTTTTCGTTGAGAATGGACATCTCAAGCATGCTCGAGGTTCAGGTAGACGAAGTGAAAGAGTTGGACATAAAAGAAAATGGTAAAACCAGAGAATCTTCTTAAACAGTTTCTGCATTTCCTTGAAACTCTGTACCTAACCCTATTTCGGTTTTCAGTAACTCCTAAAGATCTGCTTCCAATTACGATAAAAACGCCGTCACCGATTTCACAGGAGGAAGCGAACCATTATAAACATATGTTTGGAAGTGGTAAGCATTTCATGTGTCATACAATCTTTTTTCTTAATATATTTCTCCTGTTACCAGAAATAATTTCATCGTATAATCTGGCATCATGTTTGCTGCCAGGCTTTATTTTTTCTTCTGTTAACTTTTCCTTGAGAAACACTAAGTGAACTGCCAGTCTAAGAAACACGAATATATAGGAAGCTGAATAGCTGGGAATATTTATAATGCTTTTAGTTTTAAGGATGTGGCTTTATAAGCAGAAAAATTAGAGTCATTTGACATATTGTTTCATATAGTATTGCTTTTACATTGAATGAGATTGATATAAAATCTTAGTTATTTATCATGTTTTATTAATGAAATTATAGCCTATTAATGTCTTCTCCTATATCAATAATAAATAGTAAAAAACTGATCGTGATTATGAAAGTAAACAGTATTTTTAAGATAGGTGTTCATGCATTGTGTCTTTCAGATTTTTCTATAGTACGATTTAGAAGATTACATTGTACAGGATGTGATGCTCATATTGGATCAGCACCTGCAAATGCTGATAACATGTTTGAGCATCCTATATTGCGTACATTGTTGTGTGCTACCTGCCGTGAATTTTATGGGGATGGCACCTTTGAACAAGGTATACGAATCATTTGAATAAATTATATAAAAGTATGAAATTCAATTTTATATCCTCTATTATTTTATTTTGCAGGTGATGATGCTACAGACATGTTCTGTAGATGGTGTGCGAATGGTGGCAATTTGTATTGTTGTTCTTTTTGTAGTAATACTTTCTGTTATAAGTGTATCAAGCGAAATATTGATCCTGTATTGAGGAAAAAAATTGAAGCAGACGAGCAATGGAAATGTTTCGTTTGTGATCCTACAGATTTATTTTCTGCGAGAGCAACTTGTTGGGCTTTATTGGAGCATATTAAGAAAATGAATAGGTAGGTAATAAAATATCACGATCGCTGTCATCAAAATTGTATTTATAATTATCCGTTCTATTCGCAGGTCTCTACAACATAACTGTAAACTGAGCCAGCACGAAATAGATGAGAAAATGAATTTAGACGAGGCGAGTTGTTGTCCACGTAGAAGAAAACGGAAGCGTCGAAGAACTGGTTCCAACTCGGAAGAGGATGACAAGTCGTATATTCCGAAACAAATAGGTATCCTCACAGCCCCAAGAGGTAGAAGAAGAGGCCGTCGTAAGAAGATCCTCAATGGTAGCAGCGTGCCCGTTTCCGGTCAATCGTTCACCGGACCGGAAGATCACCGTGATCCTGTAGATCACGAGATACTACCGTCCTTACTTTCGTGCGAACAAACTATGGTAGAAGGTGAAAATGAAACAGTTGACACAGACGGTAGAATCATCGCCCAGCAACCACGAACTATATTGCCTCGTAGAATAGAACCTAACATTGTTCCGCAACCGATGTACAACGCTTTCGTGAACGTGGTCTCCCCAAATTTCTTGCAGCCTACTTCTCCCATGGTACCTATACGTCAGGTGCACAATCCGTTGAATCAGATGAATTTGTACCAGACTATGCAGTGCGCACAAACGCCCATGGTAACGATACCCAATCAGAGCGCTGATATGTTGAACCGATTAAATTTTCCTTTAGCGCAGCCACAGATTTCACCGCCTAAAACGACGAGCTCGAGTATTATAGAGATTGAAAGTGACTCGGAAGAGGTTGCTATCGTTGGTCCGTCGCGAGACTCGCGCTCCTTTAAAGACCATATCGATAACAATACTGCAGTACCTATTGCTCTGGTCAGCTCGAAGAGTAATAATACCTTAGGAAGAATACTAGAGATGGAAAGGCGTAATGTGAAAACTCTTAACCAGAGGTTACTTCCACACGGTCAGGAGATCGATAACATTCTGACGAACCTCAAGAGTAAGCTTCAGGATTTATTTGAAATGGTTAAGAAGGAGGAGCAGAAAAAGTACAAGCTAAACGAGGCTCGTGACACGATCAAACAGTTTCATCGCGAAATCCGCGACACGGTGTCTCAATTGGCGTGTGTAAACGATAGAATAGTGCGCGAATATAATCGCTGGAAGAGATATCAGTTGAAGACAGGCGGTATTCAATCTTCGGAATGTAATACACCCCATGAAACGTCGAAGAACGAGGAAATACCGCTCGAGATGACTTGCGTGAACGAATCTGCATCTGACACTGAGAACAGCGAGTCCGAGAACAATATCATCAAACCGTCAGAGTTCGTCGGTACAACGAACGTGGTTGGTGGTATGAAATCCTTTAAGAAAAGAACTACCAAGTCGCGTGCTGTGGCCACTGACCGTGTTTCCTTGGTAGATAAAACTGTACAAATATTCGACATTGAATTGGATGATTACGACAAGTGTATAAGGCATTCGTCTCTGAAGAAGTTTGATCAAGGACTTGCAGCACGTAAACAATCGATAAATTATGAAAAACAATTTATTTATTATTTACAAAATCGTTTAGACGCCGATAACATTCGATCCGAAGGGTCCAAGAATTTGCCCGACCCAAATGAGACACCATTGAAGGACTTGATAGAAGCTAATTCGCCATTTATTTCAGAGATGTTGGAGACCATGGACAAATCCGTGAATTCTAGTGATAGTGAAAATGAAAATGAAAATGAAAGCGGAAGCGAAAGTGGAAACGAAAACGAAAATGAAAACGAAAACGAAAACGAAAACGAAAATGAAAACGAAAATGAAAACGAAGACGAAGAGGAAGAGGAAGAAGAAGAAGAAGACGAAGATGAAAACGAAAACGAAAACGAAGATGAAAACGAAGACGAAAAGATATCTGATAAAAAGGACGACGATATGAAATTATCTATTAAACAGAAGATAAATACGGTTACAGACCGTTCACGGAAACAAACGTTTGTAAAACTGGTTAACGATATAAATAATGATTTAGGTAAAAAGAAAAGTGTAAAAAACACTTCTACGTCTATCGTGAACACGCAGAGAGAAACTAAATCGTACGGAAAGCGTTTATCTAGAAATGAGGAAATTTTAATAGTAAACGTATCCACGAAAGATAATCGCAATACAAGCATAAGTAGAAAATCTACAAACAACAAGGAAGACGACTGTACTATTATTAGTGATTAAATTATGATTCATAACATCTTCCATCAATCTCATTAAAATTTTTATGGCTTTTTAAAACTTGTCTCTTGTTATGATTTTCTTCTTAAGCATTCTGTTACACGTTTTTGTTTTTTCTCACTAGCGATAACGAAATTGTTGCTACAATTAGAGATTTCCAAAATAGGAAGGCAATACACTGACACGTGAATTCAAAACGTTAATGTCCACAAGTTCCTTAAATTCTTTAAATTCAAGCAATTTCTTTTACATTTCCAATTGACGAGTCGATCTTTTATTTTCAATATACATGTCACGCGCCGATAAAGATTTATTTAGAAATTCTTTAAATAACGCTTATGCAAAGTATAAAGTAAGAATTTATACGAGTGTTAACGAAACTATTTTCTTTTAAACGATCGTGTTCAAGATTGTCATTGTTTTCTTGTACATATATAATACATTGTTCGGTAGCAAGTAATGTAAAAAGTTGACATATATTTGATTAATGATTTCCCCGATGATTTTAAACCGTATCTCTTTCGTACGTGATTACATTTGTTCAATTACGACCATCGTTTTTGATGCTTGTAATTCATTTCTCTATGTAAAGTTGCTCTGTAAGACTGCACACACACACTTTGGAAATGAGTATTTCCTGAAACGATTAGGATACGTTATTGAGTGAACGTTGAATTCGATAAGTTTCTAGAATTTATATATAAATATGTTGAATACGAATACTTAATATTATACCTATACTTGTTAGGTAAGATGTGTATAAACGAGCGTGAACGAATGGGTGTCCGCAGAAGGGCAAGATTTGTAGCCCTAAGAAGTAAAGTACGTTGTTTTGTATGATCTGTGGTAGATAACTTATAGCCTAGCAATTATACTTCGAGCTATAGCGAGCGAATGTTTCCATGGTAGTCGCAAAAGTTCGTCTATTAATTTCAACTGAATCAAACTCTACTCAAATAAATTTATTACGAACTGTCAAACGCCGCTATTTTCTTGAATAAATACTGTATAGATACTTACTACTTCTTTCAGTGACACACACTTTATGGAGCATTCATTCCTTCCTAGAGTTTAAAGAAAGTAAAACAGTACTTTCGTAATTGTTAAGATTTATCGACTTCTTTTTTTATTTGCTTGTTCTTTGCCCGTCAATATCCGTCATGATTTATCAACGTGACCGATAATTTACCATGTATTACTGACAATAGACGCATAAACAGAAATTCTTCAGATTTATTTATTTCTCATTTGTTTCGTCCTTCGCGTATACATACGGCATTCAATATATTACTTTTTCTTTTTTGTCGGCTCAAGTTTTATCCTACGCAGAGATAAACGGTCTCTCTTAACATACATAGTTATACAGTATAACGAGTTCGTAGAAATTTTTTTGCTTTAAAAACAGTTTGAACACGTAATCTTGTCGCGTGATCGCAGTTTGGTGTACAAATGATCGAACGTAAGAATTATTAAAATGGTTTCGTCGAATTACAAAGCATTACAAATATATTACGCTTCAAGTCGGTATGATTGTTGAAGTCAGAGTATGCTACTACTATTAGAAATGTAGATACTTATAAATACTCGCAAATTATGAGCCGCTACGGCATTCTTTTCTTACTAATTCAAGATTCATTTGTATTTAAAAAAGACAGAAATCAATTACTCATGAATTATGATTAAAATAAATAAATATATACGTTGGAGATTTCAACGATTTCGATTGTATCGACAATACGGTATTTTTGTTAAGATCGTTAACAAAAACAAATTCAACTAAAATATATGTGTACGAGCACGGCTCGAAATTTGAGTACTTCCATATGAATTTATAATCTCATATTGGTACATATCAAAGATCGTATTAACGGTTTAAAATAAGTTTGAGCAAATAAATCTCTTATTCACTGGTCGTACGACGGAAATTAATGACAGTATCGAAGGTTAGTGGAAATCGTGAAATTTCGTTAACAATGCGTCACGTAACAATAATCATTTTTTTTTGTTCGTTTTTGACTTGAAATCGGAATAAACAGCGACAGTCTAAATTCTAGCACCGTAACATGACATTTAGAGTGTCGTTAACGTCCTTTTCTCTGAATATCAATCTCAATCTCTCTCTCTCCCTTTCCATTCTTAATCCTCAATAGCGGAATTGACCTTTTCTGCCCATACCGTTGTGGTAGACTCTGAGCGGTGTGTAATTCCCATTTCCGTTCATTGCTGTGCATAGAAGAAAGAGGGAGAAGGGATGAAAAAATAACTGATACAAAACAAGTAACTGAAAAGTAAACTAATCGCACAATGAGATAAACAATAACAAAGAAACCAGTGAAGAATCTAAAGTAATGCAAATATAGCGGAGAGTAAAGTTTTCTCTCCTTCCATGAAAAATAAAGGCAATTGCGTAAAAGAAAAGGGATTGAATATAAATATAAATATAAAGTAATACACAATTAGTTCATACAAACATTAGTCAGCTGATTGCAATGAAGCGTAATTTGTGAAGCATAAAATATGTTCAGATATAGCGATATTTCCTGCAGGAGTACCTAAGAAATTCTAATATTTCAATGACATTTTGCTGTTCACTGCATGCAACGACAAGTGTCAACCTTTTGACTTTAATAGAAATTAGAAAAAGAATCTTATTTACATGGATACAACTGAACTGTCGAATCGTTGAATCTATCTGAAACGAATAGCGTATCAGGAGAATCTTAATCTGTTCAGTGCATATTTTTCATTCTTGCATAGAATATGTCTTTCGAAAGTAGCAAAAAGCAATTACGACTCAAACCATTCGAATGATTTCAGGGTACTCACTCAGCTCATACTCCTTAATAGCGGCTTGTGTGAAAAACGCGATTCATGTTAATGGAACATTTCTGAAATACGTGTATTTGTAAATATATGTACCTTGTACAACGGTTGGGGGTTGCCGAGGGCCCTGTATAGTGTGCGCATGACAACGTGGCTTCAGTAGGCCGTGATAGAGGACAAAGTATAAGGCGGCAACTGCTGCTGCTGCGATGGCCATGTAACGATACACGAATCTTAACGAGTAAACGATGTCAGAGTCGTCTACGTTTATGTAAGCACCGATCACAGCTCCGGTACACCGACCTACGTGAACACAGAAATCTTTCAAATATCCACGATCTTGTAACGTTTCAGTGTTAAAGACGATTCATTTGTTCCGCATACCGATACAGAAATGCGCAATCACAGGCAATGCCTGGGCAGTTACGGTTAAATGGCGCGGGACAAGATGCCTCAGATACAGAATGGCAGTAACCCACATAATCCCAAGGGTGAACACTTCTAGAGCCTCCGAAACCAAGGACCACCACGGTCCTGAGACGAGACTCAATCCAGTAAACCTGCAAACGAGTTCCATAAGTTTCAGAAAGTTATTCTAACAAGTTCGAATTACAGTTGATCGTATATTAGTCGTAACATTATAACTTACCTACCTAATAATGTACACGGTAAAGGCAGTGATGAGAAGATTACTGTGACCACAATAGTCGACGAGATGCTCGGATTTCCAGAGGAATAAGAATGCTGGCACAGCTCCCACGGTCATAGCTACGCCAATGGGAAACTCGTTACCTCCTAATTTTTGTAAATGTCTAAAAGATGGAAAGATTGAAATTGGTGAAGATCCGATGATTTCAGTCTGTCAATTATACGTCACAGATATAGGCCATTGACCACTAGATCCTTACAATGGCAGATAGCTGTCCATGGCGCTCCAGAAGGTTCCCATGACAATAAGGATGACCACCAAAGCAGCAGTCTCGCTGCCGTATCTTTTAACAGCGCTCATGGGAAGTGCCAGCATGCCGCTTCTAGTGTGCCACCACCATTCTGGAGGACTCAAAGGCATACCGTTGGCGCAGATAGCAACAACGGCCGCCAGAAGCATCATAATTGAATGCAGAGCGATCGGCAGGTAATAGAAAGAGTTCAGGTTTTCTATCAAGGTGCAGAGATAGCCGGTTAAGGGGCCGAAAATAGCAAAACCCAAGGAACCGAAAGCTAATTGGCGACCCACGTCGCCGCGCCCGCAGGACGTTTCTCTCGTCGCTATCACCACTGCAGCATCGATTAGGCCCACGGCTGTCGTTGGAAAAATGTCAGCGACCGATCGTATAACCAAGTACGTCCAGAAGACTAGATGCGACCAATTCTCTCCCCGTTGGCACTGGCTTTCCACGAAAACACTGTCTGCAAAGAAACGAGAGTTTCTCGGGTTGCTGCGAGATATCCAACGGTCATCCGTCAAGCGGCAATATTACCTGGGAGAGTGTACGCATCGACCAAGTTGCATTCGATGGAACAACTCTGGTACACCTCTGCCATCCTCGCCTTCAGATCTAGTGGTATACGACAGGCGAAGTACTCGGCCAGAGGATAGGCGCACCACTCTTTGCCGCTTTCGTTGTTTAAAGCTTGGCCCAGAGTAGCGTTTACAGCCAGAGTACCAGTGTATTCGGTGTAAACATGGCACACCACGTTGTCGCTCTCGTTGAAGCAGATATGCGGTGGCTCGTTGCCGGCCATTACGAATCTTCGGACCTTCTTGAATTCTTCTTGATCCTACAACGTACCTCAAGTTGAATTCTTTTTATCGAGTAAAACTCATCTATTTTATGTAACTCTAAGTCGAAGCGAAATAATATAGGTTTTGCACCCGAAATTTACCCTGTTGCGAATCAAGTACTTCCACATGTATGTCTCATTAATTGGAGTGCAAGACCTATACGTCTCAGATTCAACGAATCAGCGCTACCCTGTATTTTCGTGTTTCCCCGGATACTCGCCTGCGCATACATTTCACTCTCCAGAGGAATCACCGTGGTCTCGCCGCTTCCCTCCACAGCGATATTAGAGTCGGTGGTTCCGGTAGCAGCAGAACCACTGTCGTCCGCCCGCCACCGTTTCGAGCCGACAGGATAGCAAGCGTAATTGCAATCCTCCAGAAGCAACGGACCGACTCTGGTCTCGTCGGACCACCTGTGACAAGAAACGCGGTCCTTGCATCTTTCTTGCAACACCACGGCGCCCGTCTGGTCGCAGTTGAACTTTAGGCCTGGCCTTCTCCCTTTGGGCAGCTCGACGTGGTCCACGGTTGGAATGATCAGAAGAAACGCGTAGAAAATGGCGGACAGAATGCAGGCGATCGCGATCATCACCCTGAGGTAACGACCCGTCGAGGACTTGTTGCTCCTTCCCTGATGACCCGCGAGTTTGTCGGCGATGGGACTGGCGACCAGGGGCCCGACGATCGCTATTGCCGGCGAAACCATCGAGATCATTCGGATCTGCTCGATGCTCAGGCCCATTTCCATCATGTGAAGCGGAAGAAACGGGAAGAGGCAGCCCATTCCTAGGAAAATCGTTCCAGCGATCCATGTGAATCGACTTTGTTCGCGGCGGGGCTTATCGGGTAAGGAACATGGGAACGGAAACACTTCGGATCAACCTTTTCAACTTGCCAAATACTTGCTACCGTTGCGTCATCTTTCGGAATAGGTGAATCCATTTAACCGGTTCACGCTCGGCGTATACGTACCTCCAAAGAAAAGGAATAATAAGAGCTTCAGTGAAAGGAGATTAGTGTTGATAAGCTTCTTCTTAGGCAGCTCCTTCGTGGTTTCCATCCTCTCGGTGGACGCCGATATCGTCATATTGAATACGCGGGGAATAAATTGTCTCGCGAGGGCAGGTACAAAGGATCAAGGAACTCCTCCAGGCGAGCCGCGGTCGTTTATTACACCGATGATCCTCTTCCTATCGCCATCCTTTGGACCCACTTTTATCTATATCTAAACACGAACACTCGCTGTTATTATCGTCGCGTCGAGGAGGCAACTTTCCTCGATAATGGAATACATTCGCGAGACGCGACATGGAGGTTCGTAACTTGTCGACGAGGAAATCGAACGAGAAAATGACAAGGGAAACAAGAGAGGCTTCTCTTCGACTCACTCCATCGGCGATGATGAACGGCGAATGGTCCAGTGCAACGCTCGGATTCCGCGTGAATTTTTCACGGTAGCCCCGGACGCTGAAACAGAACGATTAAACGTTAATAAATAAACGGGTAAAAGTAATAAGCGCGTAACTGTAACGCTGCGAGCCAGTTATTTCTTATGTCGTCTCGTTACACGCCATATGATTTACCGATCGTTTATTTTTCTTACTAGCCGCGCAAAGCACACGCGGCTCGTTGTGTGTACTTTGTTACGCATCAAGAGTCTCGCACCATAAGAATCGATGCCGAGGTAAATACGGGTGTCGTTCCAGAAAGATGCGTCGCAATCGTCGAACCGATCCATTACCCTACAACTCGAACGCAATGCGAAACGCCGGAGAGATACGGCGTTCGTGCGTTCGTCGATTCGTCAGGGTTGCACGCGTTGCACGCGACGCTCGGTGGATACCTTCGCGGTATTTAAATCCTTGATCAACGAGCTGAATGTCTATTCATAAAGCAATGGAAAAATCTTCTAAATTTGAACTATTAGCGTTTCGCTGTAGAATCTGAACTGATCCGATTCGCTTGTATACTTTAAAGAATCTTCGTCCGCAAAGGATTAAGCTGTCACAAGTATTTTAGCCGATGTTCTTCCATAGTTACAATCCGTTCGTTTCAAAGAACCGCGGACAAATTAGCAAAATTAACCCTCTCAAGTGTTTACAAGGTTCAGCCGAGGAGAGGGCAGCGTCTAAGTTTGCTTTCGCGGAAAAGGTCCGACGAACTTCTTAAGTTCAAAGGGGCGAGAGCGTTCCCACGGTAAAATTCCGTGTAGTCCGCTTCAACGGACGCATCCCCGTCGCTTTAATTCCGCGGGGAAGATTGGAGAAACGTGTACTCGTGGGCGCAACAGCCTCGAGTGTTTCATACACACTTAACGCACCCTTAAACCCTCGGGTTCGAGCGTCGACTCTGCCGTGGGACGAGGCTGCAACGGCAAACGGCGCCAGACAAACGCAGACACGCGACTAACGCCACACCGGTCCACCCTCGGAACCTTACGTATTACTCGACTTCCTTCCGGTTAAAGGAGAACTTTATCAGGAGCTATCCGACGGCACGTCTCCGCTAGCGTTCGCGAACCGTTCACCATCCTGTGCACGCGCGCGACGCGTCCTCGCCGCAATTTTTCGCCGAGAACTCACCTGCAACAAGCACGGGAAACCGGGGTGAGTTAACCCTTAACGGACCGGAGGTATTTCAGGTTCACTTACCATAAAAAAATACCGTGACATAGACAACAAGAAAGAAATTCACAGAAGCGACGATACTTGACATTGCAAATATTCCAACAGCAGTGGTAAAAATAGTGATTCCTGCCGCCATATACGCGGCACTGCACCCGGTAAATAAAGCTGCCGCTTACATGGCGGTCCGTTGAGGGTTAACATAGAGAGATTCGCTCGCAGAGGAAAGATGGGTCGTAGAATCGTTATTTATTCGAGCATCCAACGCTAACGGAGCGCCGTTCGTCCCCCGTTGCAGATTTATCGGGGACACACCGGCGGACGGCGAGATGTCCCGTCAGCGTTTCATTCTCAAGATTCATCCCTTCCACTGCTCGGATTCCCCTGAACTGATTAGGTGGCGACGTAATTGTCACGAGAGAATGAAAAGATGACGGCATCGTGGCTCGGTCACCTAGCGCATACGCTCGTTCCGCTGTTCCTCCTCCTACGCTCGTAATTAAACGTCCGCCCGTTTCGCTCAATCGTTGTTCCACCCTCGCGGATGTTTCAACCGGTCAGTAACCGTCTTCGCGGCAGACTTAATGCTTTCGAGAAGGAAACGCGAATTAACGGCGACGGCTGTGTAGCTTTAACGATTCGGTTCCCATTGCCCGGCCCCGCTCTCTCTCCCCCGACAACCCTTCCGTTGTCGCTCGATGGACAGACGTTCCTTCCCCCGGGAACTGCCCTCCCTTCCTCGCTCGAATCGGCCGACGAGTTTTCGCCTTATTCTATTTCTCAGCGAGGGCCATTCCGGCCACGAGAAGACTCCAACTATTCCGCTAAATTAATATTCCTTAATGTGCACACGATCTTTTTAAACGAATAGCACTGTTCTGTCGGGAGAAACCTACCCTTAGGCTCAACCACTTCAACCCAGACGCGATATTAATTAATTTGGACCTCAACAGTTCCGAGAGAAACAAATTACAGGCGACTCGAATTACCGGATTATCGCATAGAGCGGCAGTTCGATCGCACCGTTTCCTTCGCGTATGGACGTGAAGTATCCGAAACACGGTTTTCAATAACGCGCGCGCGACAGTTCCACTATCGCGACGCGAAAACCTGTTTGCCACCCCTTTTCTTCCAGGCTGAGCTGTTCCTTAGTTGCTTTTATTTCCCGTCTAGAGTTGCCATTCAATGAAATCACCGATCTAGAAAGAAGCAGCGTACGAATGGAAGACTTCTCCGTCTGAAATCCAGACGCTTTGACATTTCTCGAGATAAGAATCTCCTTAAATGACGGATCGAGGAAGAAAAAGCGAACGAGTGAAACGGCAACGCGCTGTCGAGAGTAATGCGACGTCTCCCTTATTACGGGGTCGCTCGAAAGCCGATGCGGTTACGCCGAGGGAACGAAAATTCAGGAAATTAATGTTTCGCCTTCTGAAGTTGTACAACATACTCGGAAGCTGTAAAAAGAAGGGCTTCGCGAGCTAGAAAAAACGAAGAAACGAGTAACTCCTCGGATAACTAAGAATATTATTCGTTCCATTAGAATTGTCGAGAAAATATCGAACAGTCGAGTTAATCGCACCGACTTCTGAGCGACTGTTACAGTTGACAACGCGTCAACATAACAGTTGTCCGCGTATCCGTCGGTCGTCGCGAGAGACGGGCCGGCCGGTCGCTTTCCAATTATCTTGAAATCAGCCTTCGAGTACGGAACAAACGTGGCGAACGCTTAACCGGCCTGTGCGTGCACTGGAATGGCAACCCTAACTGGGTTAACGACAGGTCACGGAAGCCTCGAATGTTTTCGCTCGCAGCGCGAGAACCGCCTGTCGCGTTTTCTGTACGCCGTTTCCGCCCGTGCACCGTAAAAATCGCTTATCCCCGCCGAATTCGAATCGCCGAAGGGGGAACGGAACTCGACCCTGCGGCCGGTCTCGATGAAAATAACGATAAGTAACAACAACGCGGGAAATCGATGCGTTACACTCGATTATGCTGGCTTCCTGGCAGAACAGCTGATAAAACAAATGGAGGAAGAGTTAAGGGAGTTTCATCGGTACGATCGAATGCTCGTCACGCGCGCAAATCGTTCACATCGTAATTCGCGCCGGCACTTCTTTTCCATCCGAAACTATAAATAGTTACGTGCGAACGTCGCCTTTTAAGCCGGCGAGATTCATTAAATGGTTAGCCGGTCCGCATTACGGCGAACGGAAGTCGTGATCGTGATTATGAGGCGCGGGTAACAAATACAGCGGCGATTCGAGCATCGCACTCCGAAGCTTTCGTTCGAGCCTGTCCTTCGGCCGGATGGCTTTCACGACTCCTATCCGGAAGCTCGTCGGAGAGAGATCCTCTGATTAGACTTAGCGGATGTTAATGCGTTTATAATTCGTACGAATCTCGAACCATCGCGACGGTCGCGTCGACGAAGCAACAGGATCTTCTAAATAGAATACAATAAAATATACTACAGTACAGACCGTGAATATAGATCTCCCGGTATAACATACTCGCGTAAACATTCATGATCGTTTCTCACGCTTCGTAATCCAACTGGTCGAACCAAAACAGAAGATATAAGCGGGAAGCAGCCGATCATTTTTAAATACGGATAGATCGCGAAGGTTTTTCTGCCTTTTTCAGATTACGATATCTGGGTGTCCTCCGTGAGACTAGTTCCTTACGTCATCGGGAACAGGTTGCCGATTACGTCAACGTTCTCTGCGAACACCTTGAAATCTATCCGCGTGTTTGATGCCACTGCAATTAAACGCGGCCGTTCCTTCGGGACCTCGTTACGAGTACGCAGAAATCCGGCTTATCTGGCCGGCGATCGATCGCGAGCCGCGAGGAGGAACACCGACGTTCCTTCGAACCGGAAACGGTGATCGTTGCAGCAGTTTTGACAGTTTCGTTCGCCAATCTTTTCGTGTTCCCCCGCGATGGGAACTTTCACGCGGGGTTTCCGTGCTGATTCAATCTGGCCCGGACAACGTTAACACGATAGCGGTCCCCTACTCTAATAAATTCGCGCGTCACGGACAACAAATTGCAAATCAAATTCGCTTGGGAACTGAACTTTCGTAAACGAGGTCCCGTGAACGGGCAGTCGATGCGCTCAACCGTCGAAATGTTTCGGTTCGCGGAGGAGGTTCCTTTCCTAAACGAACAATGCTAATTTACGCGACACCGGCCATTAGGCGACGTTGCCGTTTATTAAGCGGTAACTGACGAGAAATTCGAAAACACTGGGGCCAACTACGCACGCGGATGACACCTGCACGCAATAGACTCTCGTGTGAGAAACATCGCGCGTGTCCTTCCGCCCACGCATCGCCTCGACACGACAACTACAGCCTCGAGAATTGGGTTAATGAAATCGTGAAACGGGAAGGCCCGCTGTACGTCTCACCTCCGCGCTCGCAGCTGACCCTACATTTTCGTAATGACGAACCGTCATTCGCTAGATTCTTCCTGAAAGATTATTCTAACGCCTCCCGTCACGCAAATGTCTCTTCCCTTAAAGAAGCGCGTCTCGCGACGCGACAACCGCCCGCGCAGAACAGACAGGTGCTATTAAAAATAATGAATCGCTCGGTATCGCGTTACGCTATTATCTGGTTATCGAGTAGTTTCGTTCGACGCGAGTGTCCTCGTAATTGTTTTCAATTCGGTGGTCACGGATGACCACCGCGATCGACGCGTTAACACGCCAGAGGAACGGCAGACCGGTACATAAACGCCCAAGGCGAGCTAGAAGGCGCTGCACCGGAAATTCTAATCGTTTCACGTTTTAGTCGTTCCACCGTGGAAAAGAGGAAACTCGGCATCGCCTGGACGGCGTAAACGCTTCAAGTTTCCCCTCGGTGCACGGCAGAAACGAAGAAAAAGCAGCCCACGGGAGGAAGTCGAGTATGCCAGAGTCTGCAGACATTTTAATTGTACTCGGTGAGTTTAAAACGAAAGTACTCCCGACGTCGAATCTGGAGTACAGGCGCAACTGTATCGAATGAAGATCCGAATTGCAGTCGCCCCCATGCAACCCCTCCTCGTCGACGCTCCGAACAGTAGTCGCGCCCGCCCAACTGTCCTGAACAGCAGTTGCAGCGTTAACGTCCGGACATTTCCGACGACCCTGCATTCAATTTCGAATCTAAGCATCGAAATACGAGGAACATCCGCTTCAGCCCTTAACGGAGCGATGCCTTCGTTATTTTCCTCGCCGCTATCGTTGGAATATTTACAATCAACAGCTTCTGTGAATTACTTTCCGCTTGTTATCTATGTTACGGTATTTTTTCACGGTGAGCAAGCTTGAAATATTTCCGGTCCGTTAAGGGTTAAATTGGTCGCGCGAACCGAATCGCTGATCCACGCGTTTCGTCCCTCTAATGCCGAAGCAGCTTATCCTCGAGACGCCGGTAAAAAGCCGAAACTCGTATCGCGCGTGCCTTCGAATCGCTCCGCGGCTCGCCGGGCTCGAGTCTATACGAAGCGATGACGTTAGGTTCACTCGGTCGATTTTTCTTTGCAATTCGCGCGAGACGGCGCGGAGCGAAAGGAGAACCGTGGACGAGACAGATTTCACGATCGATTCGAATTACTCATTCAAGCGGTCGCACGGCTGAACGCCTAATTCAACCCCATCTCCGCCGACCCCGGACCGTTTCGTCACGATTTTCTCTCCCCCTCGGCTCGCTGCACCCCTTCGACCGTGCAAGAAGCTGCGAGCACGCTTTCGAGAGCATATTATGCAGGTACGGGGTGGTAGTCGCGCTGTCTCTTCCACCCCGCATACGGTGATTACACGTTTGATGCCCCTGGTTTTCGATGCAGCTGTTGCGTGGCTGTTACTATATCGTCGGGCATCGGTTCGAACGATTTACACCGAGGGTAACGACGCCGCTGCCCGCTAGTTTCGTTCGATCCTCTAATTTCCGCGCGGCGAAAAACTTTGCTAACAATAGGTTCCATCGTACGGTACTTGAAAATCCACGGTTTCCTCTCCCGGCGAGGCGTGTGCACTTTCATTCCGCATCCTGTCCCGATCGGGACCTTTTTCAAAGTTACTTTGCCATTATCGTGGACTCATATTCGAGGGAAGTATCCAGCTATCTCCTCTAACGAGAACCACGACCGAATGCTGTACAGTTATACTTGAAAACGGTACATCTGCAGTTAGCTCAACTTCGGGAGTTCGTTACGAAACCACTCGTTCCCTTTTTCGGTGTATGCATCTAAGTGCGTCCGTTCGATTGATTTCGCGGAGTTTCTCAATATAACCGAGTCGCCGAAACTCTTCGCCAGTCTTCTTCCTTACGATCTTCTATAAATAAAGGACCCTGAGGGAATCGACTGAGACGATAGACCGAGTTCTGTATCTCGTCTAAGTGCTCGCGGCTAGATCCAGTCTTCCCCTTAATTCGGTTTGCAAATATGAACGGTATTCTCTTCCCGGGAAGAATGATTCCGGCACCTCGTTAGCTAATTGCTATCGCTTAGTTACAGCTAATGGCTAGACTGCTGGAGTACCAACGGCAGAACTACCGGTCAAAATCGCTGGTTCCGATTTGTTTCATAATTACTGTATCAAATGCTCGATAGTTGTTAACGCGCACAGCAACGATAGTTAACCCTTTACACTCGAGAGGTGACTCAGTCACCGTTTGATTTGATACGACAAAATTACAAAGTGTTGTATATAATATTAAATTTTGTATAATGCATCGATATGTGAAATATTTATATAAAATAGCATTGTTCCTTAATTTACGTATTTCTCATTCGTTTCAAATAGTGTCGCCTATGTCTCACTGGAAAGCGTCGAATATTTCTAGCGACAAGCTTCCGAGTGCAAAGGGTGAAACCACCTCGAGACTGTCCGAAACGACGCGACAGTGAAAATGACAAAACGCACAAGTTGCCCTAGATTTCCTAGCCTCGTCAAAGGTGCACGGTGAACGGAAAGCAACGGAGAACAGAGCGCCGGTGTCTGCACCGTATCAATAACGTTAGGATCGGCGCGTACATTGTTTATTTTGAGCGCAGGCAAAAGGAACAGGACGCACGGCGTGTGTTCACCGGGCGGCGGATAACGGAACCCCGCGACGGTGCTCGTATTCCTCCTTGTTGCACGGCCGAGCAAGCGAGAAAACAGGACACGTGTCTCTGCGTGCGTGCACGAGCAGGAGGGACAGACGAACGGCGAAGATGAAACGAGGAAAAGGAACCCGTAGGGTACCGTCATCCGGCCGACCGGACTCGCGTCGGATTTTTCGATCGGAGATTACGGTGTTTCTCCTACACCGCCGCCGCCGCCACCGCCGCCACCGCCACCGCCGCCGCGGTAAAAGTAAAACCACGTTCGCTGCGAGTACAATGAATTTTGCTGCGCGCCATGTTCCCCGGTTAACGGTAGTCGATACCAAGGCGAAATGATCCCGAGCCGGCCTATCCGGGAAATTGCATTGCGCGGATTCGATATCTGCTTTTAAAGGAAATCGGATCCGACCGAGAACCCTGCCAGCCAATTAATACTAGTCGCGAAGAAAATTACCGATATTTTCGCGACGTCTGCACGGGATTCGTTGCTAACGGCCTCCTCGTCGTGTTCTTCGATTCGCATCCGGAGACAATTGCGCTAGCTTGCTCCTGCGTTTACCTGAGTTCAGTTTAAGCACGATTAACATCGGGAACGTCTCACGTTATGGTTTCGTTTGAAATTATTAACTATTCCATGCCACTTTCTCGTACTTACGGGGAGCCGTTCTAAGGCGTAACATATACCGCTCGGTAGACTACTTGATAATTACTGTTTTAGTCCTTGCGCTCGTCCTCTGCCAGTACCTTCTTCGCACTCTAGTTCGCCTTTTAAGGCTCAGAATCAAGTGAACGTTAAATTACGAATTATGCGTCTACGACGAACGTTTATGAATTTCAACGATTTTTAATCATACCTACGTCTCGTTTTTAAACAAACGTTTCCACGTATTCCGCTGGCATCATTATTTCCAGTTTCCAGAAATTTAACGATTCGCTCTCGCAAGACTCGCCAAGAAGAAAGGTGTCTACGCCGGTCGGTAATTAATGGCGAAAGTGTTTACGAAAAGTCCAACAGGCGCCGAGCAGATTTAATTAATAACCGTCGAACGTACGCGCCGCAATATCTGCCGAGTCTCGGGCTGAGAATAATCCTGCTGGTAGCTGCGTTCGACGAGATTAATTTGCCTCCGTCGAGTTTTTCCGTCGTTTCTGGGTGTACGTAATAGTCGGCTGCGCGACGCGAAGGCACGACGGTCCTTCACGTGTCCCTAAAGCAACCTTTACACTCGGAACCGCGTGGTACGTAGATTTCGATCGATAGGAAATCACAAAGGTTAAACTCAATTCCGGATCAGAGAGCGTGCCTATTGTTAGCGGATTTTCTTCCTGGGCTACAACTTCGTCTGCACCGGTTTGTTACTCCGCTACAATGAAATCGTTTTTTTTTTCTCTCTCCTCCGGTGTTCCTCGAAACTACGCACGTTCGCTGGGACCTAGTTTTGTGAGAACGTCGGGGCTTCGTGAATTACGGTTAATCCCGATTGGACGCCAGAACCGAGCCACCGGTGGAATCATTGATTTATCATCCGTTATGAAAACTGTCAAATTGATTTTTCGGGTAGCATGACGTGAGTGTTGACCTACCGCGGTATCCTGTTTACAAAATTAATGGAACCGGTTCTCACGAATTTCGTCACTGTGCACGCGATGCGTGTTTCCTCCGTGGAAATGCCAGGAGAGGCACATTCCATTCGTACCGACTGATTTAGGGGCGTCCCGAGGGAACGAGCGTCTCGAAAAATACACGCGTTCGCGTGACGCGAGTCTACACCGCATCATTTTCATGGACATTTTCATATATCAACACGCAGTTTCATTTCCGTGACTGACATCACTGGTCCGTTCGAACCAAACAAACGCGTTTCGGGTGTTCCATGGATAGAGTAGTTTCCCTTCGCAATGCAAACGCATCTTTACATTGTACCCTTACGAAACGACCTTACGCGAACCTTTATGAAACAGCTATTACATCTCCTAGAACGGAGTGTTACCATCATAGAAATAAAGATCGATGACGAAACAATCGGTACTCGCGATTTCTATCTCGCTCGAGCGTTCGATCCGTTACTCACCGTACGATATATTTCAGTGAATAACCTAAAGTAGAATGAAGCGTGATCGCAGATTTATCTGAGAAAATAGATAATTGATCGTTACAAAAATCGCATACTATTTCAGGTGCGAGAATACCGCGTACACACTCGCGAAACGCAGTTAGCTGGTCGAGGACGGTTCCCGGGACGGGATGACCGTAAACACCAAACAAACAGATCGCGGAGGTTTTCGTGACCCACTCGAATCGGTTCACAGGATTTCAGGGCTCGTTTGAACCGAAGCATCGATTCGGTAATCAACGGAATTATCGACTAAGGGAAGAGTTGCATCGAACGACATATCAGGTTTCGGCGTCGGCGATAGAAGGTGGGATCAATCGAGAAACGATTAAAATCGAACCGCCCGGATCCGCGTGCGAGCGAGGCACGGGGGCAAATCAGGAACGTCACCGCTGCCTCTGTCAATTGAAACGAACTCCGCCGCGGGATTAATTAAAATAAGAGCGCATAAAAAGCGTGAGCTCGCGTCGCAGGTCGTCCACGGCGCGCACAGTTTGTCAACGAAGGATGTCGTCCGTTAAAAACAATTGGCTATGATTTGAGAGAGAAAAACGGGGTCACGTAGGTAGATCTCGAGTGTTGCGAGAGAATAGAGCAACGGCTCGCATAGACCGAGATACTCGGTTACTTCGATCCGCGTATCGAAAGGGTTGCTGCTCGGCCGGGCTAACGGTGCCCGTGCAACCGGGGAGAACGTGGATGGGAAACACTTACCCCCAGGAGGCCAGGTTCGTTGCACTTTTTCCTCGTCTGTCGTTTAGTAACAGGCACGGGACGAACGGGATGGGAAAACGGCGTGAAATCATCACCTCCGAACGACAGTTCCAGCACGAAGTCTGGCGAGCGACTGTTGCGTCCCGGTTCGTACTCACACGGACTCCCCTGCACGCCGGCTCGCGCTTCTCCGCGCGTAAACGTCAATGCGAGGTGGTCTCCACCGTCTACCCACCTTTGCAACACCTTTCCATGCATCTTTCATACCTGCGAGCGATGCGCATCTAGTCGAGAAATAAAAACGTGCAAATTGGATTTCTCGTTGGTTCCGAACCTTCGGAACGTTGCAATGCCTTTCAACTGGACTTTGGAAATGGACTTGAGCAGAGGTGTCATTCAACAAGTCGAAATATGGTACCTATGCGAATCTACGATTTACACGGGATGCTCGTCTGAATCGATCGATCGAATTTCAGACCGTTAGTTTCCCTCGTGAAAGGAACGGCAGGTTCGTAGATGTATATTGTCCGAATAGATAATTAAAAGTCGATGAATTTCTCGTCGCCTGGACACGTCGCGGCGAGATCCATTCGCGAATACGGATTCGCGAGTTTACGTATCGTTGTTGCTCGTAACTGTGAAAGTCTTTCTGTGTTGTCAGTCTGGAAGGCAGAAGATTTTGTTAAACGTTGTAGGTCGTGATTCGAATAGGAGAAACACTTTTCCTTAATTAGCGCGTAATAAAGTCAAAATAATATCGTTAGTTGCTATGTAGGTTCATTAATGGGAAATACAGTCCACCACTGAGGAACTCCGAATTTCGTCTCTTTTGTATTCTATGGGAAGAGTGTATCGTGTTTCCCTTCGAATTTATTTTTAGTGACAATAATAATAGAATAAGTATCGTCGATTGTCCTACGAGGACGCGCTATTATTTAGTCGTTTAATCGTTACTCGTTTCTGAAAGAATCTTTGCGATCAATATATTCGAATCGTGAATAATCTGTTGATTGATCAGGGAGAAATGATAATAAACTATTGACGTTCGCGCCTAATTTTACACGTTGCGCTGCATTTCCTGTATTTCAGTGTCTCCTTCCACTTCCGTTTCGCTAACCCCATTCGATGGAAGCGCTATGAAAGTACGATACGATGCTGCTCAAACATTCTCGACCAATGGCGTTTCCGCGCAAGGCAGTCTAGGATCGACGCGTTACGGTAGTCGTAATAATATTTCGGATAGTTCGTGCCCCATATTTACGCCATTATGGATTCGTTAGCAAATTACGCCAGTGACGGGGATAATAGTAATAATTCGGACGATCCGAAGGTGAGTATACACCTGTAAATTGTATTTCAAGACTGCCGATAGCATCTTTGCCTCGGCACCCATGACGCTTGAGAAATTTTTTAGTATACACACACAGTCGACATGGCTCCGAGGATAGACTCTCCAATTGTAGAAAAAGTTTCTCGATAATCAACGAATCGTTTTATTTCGCGAACCTCTTGTATGTATTCCGAAATGTTAGTTAACTCATTTGTGGAGCCTAATTACCTCTTTGTTACTATGCCTATCCGTAGCATGTATCCGATGCAATTGTACCATTGATCACAATTGTAATAAAAAGTTGGATTTGTAACGCGATTTACGCAGTTGCTAATTTGCGTAGACGTTTATGTAAAATCGTACGATGCGTGTATCAAAATTGTTATTCAAATGATATTCGTGACCGGGATAAATCAATAGTTTGTGAAATGTTCACAGGTCATGAATTATTAAATATTTCACTGTAAATGTCATTGTTTAAAGATGCTGTACGAAACGCACAGTGATGCCAGCAAAAGAGCCAGTGACGCTAATTACGACCCGGTACAAATGGACATGAGTGAGGTACAGTAGAACAGAATGTTTGCAAACATTTTTTCTATAGTATTAAGTACAAAACATTACAACAATTACTAGGACCTTGGTGATTTTACGGGGGCTGTATGTACATCTAGGGTCATATACCTGTTATATAAAAGGTCTAGTACTTGGTTTTTGGAGGTCATGTCGTAATCATCAGAGTAAAACATTTCTATCGAATACTTCAAAGAAATTAAGGAAAGGGTTGGTTTTTTATTAATACCGCTTCTGCCCTACAAGTTCTTATCACCTTTCGTGTTCAAATAATAAAAATATTGACGCGACACAACATGTATACTACCATATCGCATTTTACATTTAAAATAAGTTAATGTCTTGCTCGCACCAAACTTATTATGTGATCTTCCAAATTTGAAGAAGTTTAAGACATGACTTTAAAGTCTAAATTATCACGTGGCAGGAACAATGTGGATAGACATTGAAATATTAAAAATTTAAATAATAAGTAAACGGGAATAGTGCCATTTCGTGAGAAAATATTAACACGTAGCTCTGTTGGTAATACATGATACAATATCTACGCATCTCGGCAAGGTCTATGCTGTGTGAGGGTCTTTCAAGACTACCCCAAGCCCTATTCAGCAGAGAGAGGTGAGTAGAGGAAGCTGGATGAAGGTAACACTAACAAAAAATCAACCATCAAAGAAACCACATGTACAAACACATTTGGGTAATAACTAACTGCTAAAGCAGATAAACATGAAGGGCCCTTATATTCCTATTTATCTTTTATAATGAAATTGTAGAAGATAAACATTTATATATTAAAACGAAACTTTTGTATCAAGTGCAACCAAGGCTGTGAGAAAACAACTTATTATTATAAAAATTCTTAGCGTTAAGTACATCGAGCATTAGGATTTAGTCCTAATACGGTAGTTACGAATATCGCAAAATTCAACGTTTACATAGACTGTAATTTTGTAATGAAAATTACCGAGGTGTTCGTTGTAAATCCACGTATTGCGATCGGAAACACACAAAGTTACAGCGTGTGGACCATTGATTTTTGCTAAACTGAGGGTACTAAAAAACATATTTTATAATATAGAGTTCTTGTAATGTAAATCAAGATCTATGTTTCATTCACTCTAATGCGGGAAAAGTGTATAGTAACGAGGATTATTTTTATTTCTTTAGGAAAGTAACAACAATAATTCATCCAGGGAATCCAGTAGCGAACGCGCAAATAGTCCAGTCACGCAGTCAAAGACAGACTCATCCCGAACATTACCTTCCCCCTCAGACCAGAGGTGAGCTGGTTTGTTTATAAGCATATTCTCCTCCGAAACAGTAAATGATTCGCTTTCTTCGATGCTTCTATCTATATTTATAAGAGAAACTTGCAACATATTTTCCACGTAAATACATACAGAATAATAATACGAATCTGTGTGGTATACCCTGCAGAACGTAATCGTTTTACAGGCGATCTGATCATGAGAATCATTCAGCGAATTCAAAAGAAGAGCACAAACGCGGAGATCGGTCCGACCGTAATAGACACATGAGTGACAAAGGACGCCGATCATCTTACGATGATAGAAAGCAACGAGAGAGTAGTCACAGGGATAGTCGAGACACAAAGAGGAGTCGCGACGACGAGAGAAAGTCTCGTGACGATGACAAGAAAAAGGAGAAAAGTTCGTTGGGATCCGCTAGGGACGAGAAGACCGACGACAGGGACAAGAATGACAAAGATCATCACTACCGTGATGATCGAAGGGATCGTAACCGGGACAGAGGTGACAGGGATAGGCGCAGAGACAGGGACAGAGATCGAGATCGTAGACATTCTAGGGACGACAGGTCGAAGGATAGACATCGGGACGATAGATCCAATTATCACAAAGAAAAGGATCGTACTCGGTCAAGGTCACGGTCCAGGGACCGCGCACCGCCGCCTTTCCGTACGATGAGTTACAGAGAGGAAAAGAGCAGGAATAAATTGGCCCAATTAGAAAAATTAGGAATCGAATTGAAAGCACCGGAAGGAGGGGACCCTCCCGCTCCTGGCATTCAGAACGAACAGAATTATTATAATCCCTTGGCAACCGCAACGCAAGGGAAATACGCTGAACAGATACAGAAGAGGAAACTTTTGTGGGCGAATAAGGTAAGATTTCCAGTTTTCCGTTTAGAACCGATTCTACATTTCTACATTTGCAATTTTATGCGACTCGCGTTTCTAGTCGAAACAAGACGACGGTAAAACATCCACGGCAGCTTCAACTGCGAACACATGGGTCGGTACAACGTTCACTCATGACCAGGATGGAAAAGTGACCGCAAAGTTCAAGCGATTGATGGGCATTAAAGATGATTTACCGACTGCTGCGACCGCAGGCGCTAAGCCAGATATATTAAAGAAACAGGAGGAAATGTTTAACAATATGGAACAACAATACGAAGTAGCACGTGCTACTACCCACACGCAGCGCGGTGTCGGACTAGGTTATGCTACTGGCGGTTATCAATTCCCACGATAAAGTACAATGAAACTTTTCGTATAAGTGGTCACTATTAACAACGCCGATAGCAGGTCCAACCGTAAACTTTTATCGTTAGTTTTGCAGTCTTGTCAGGTCGATTGCAAAACCAGAGTTTTGATTTGAAAGTCGTGTTATAAATAGTGACTATATAGAGATAATTACTAGACTTACAAAATAAGGGTCCGAAAGATCTTGTTAGAGTTATATGTAATTATATTGTATACATTGAAAATAAATTTGTTAAGACTCTGAAGAGAACTCGGTGCTCTCGACTTGACGACGATAATCCCTAATTAGTTTCTGGTCTTGGGAAAGTGAAGGAGACGGTAAATGTTTTTATGACCCTAATGTGCTTTGCAGCATTATTAATATAATTTAATTGTATCTGTTCGCTGCATGTACAAATACATACAAGATACACTGACAAAGATATTTTTTTTTTAAATAAACATTATCAAATGATTACTATGGTTTTTCCTTCATTTATCCATTAATGTATCCCGGGTAGAGGTGGGCATCAAATGATACAAGTATGAAAAAAGATATAACCGTTGTTATTTACAGCCATTTCAATAGATACGTTGGGATGAAAAAAAACGATGTAACTTTAATTCGATATAGTTCGTTTGAATACAAAACAAGAAGCTTCGTTTCTATTCCACTGGCAGGAAGTCTTTTAATACGATTAGAGAAAAAGAAATTGAATTCATCGCGGTATTACCGGTTCCCAGAACAGCCAACTTTATGCATTGATAGAAATAACTCGTCGCAACTTATGTTGTTTTTCTACCATTATTGATGTAATAATTTATCTGTATTTATACTTAAGTTAATGCAAAATTAGGCTAACATTATTGTCGCTATAAAATATAAGATAAAATGAAAATCCAACGTATTTTTTTCTTCGATGCGAGAAAAGGCGGGCTTTGAGGTAACACCTGCGCTTGAATGTATTTGTAGTTACATCAACAAAAGTTTGCATTGGCTGAGAAAGACACGACTCCTTACGGAATGACCCGAACACCGAACTTTCAAACGTATTTATCAATATGGCGAACCGTGGTTTGAATTTGATCGTTACCTGACGGCGCATTGTGAAGTTTGTATAACACATGTGATATTTAATCATTTACGGGATATATTTGAGCTTTCGAACTGAGAATTATATATCGACTAGCCTTGGATTTCATTTCTATAACTTCACTATGGAGAATTTCGTAAAAATCGAAAAAATTGGCGAAGGTAATTTGACGATGTTTTCTCTGCGAATCACGATTTCCTATTTAATACCTATTTCATCGAGTTTCGAACATTTTCCCATTGATAATTAGAAAATTTCATTAATCATTATTCTGGCAAAGTTTTGGTAGATCGATCATTTATTTACCATAATATATATATAATGGATCACAAACGTGCTATTGAAACTATGTTTCTGACCGAGGTTATTGAATGCTGAATAGTTTGGAAGTTGATACTACCAAAGACTTCCTATGGTTTTATATGATAATGATTCATGAGCGTATGCTGATTATATATTAACATTTATTAGCATTACATACTTATTTGTGTATTCTCAGAAAGTATGATAAGGTATACAGTGAAGGCTTTTACAGGAACTTATGGTGTAGTTTATAAGGGAAAGCACAAAAAGACAGGGGAAATTGTAGCTATGAAAAAGATTCGTTTGGAAAACGATGATGAAGGAATACCATCAACGGCGATTCGTGAAATCTCATTGCTCAAAGAATTATTGAATCCTAATATTGTCAGACTAATGGACGTACTGATGGAAGAAACTAAATTATATCTTATTTTTGAATACCTTACAATGGATCTGAAAAAGTATATGGATAGTTTAGGTACTGGAAAGCTGTTGGAACCAAAAGTTGTTAAATCTTATTTGTATCAGGTCAGACAGTATAACAATACTTGTATCGTGTAAAAGATGAATTACTACTGTATTAAACTCATATAGCAGAATTTTTATATATATCGATTAAATTTGATTTTAGATTACACGTGCTATATTGTTCTGTCATAAACGTAGAATACTACATCGTGATTTAAAACCACAAAATTTACTGATTGATAAGTCAGGTGTCATCAAGGTAGCTGATTTTGGTCTTGGAAGAGCATTTGGTATACCAGTCAGAATATATACACACGAAGTAGTTACTTTATGGTACAGAGCACCAGAAATACTTCTTGGTGCCAGCAGATACTCATGTGCTATCGATATATGGAGTATAGGATGCATATTTGCTGAAATGTCTACAAAGAAGCCATTATTTCAAGGAGACAGTGAAATTGATCAGTTATTCAGAATATTTCGGTATGATGTAGTCAATAAATTATATTTCAATACAGTGTGCAATAGTAATTAATGATAACAATTATTCTGTAGGATACTAAGGACACCCACTGAGGAAATATGGCCTGGTGTAACACAGTTATCAGATTATAAGGCCACATTTCCAAATTGGATAACTAATAATTTGGAATCACAAGTTAAAACATTAGACACTGATGGACTTGATCTTTTGCAAGCAATGCTTGTCTATGATCCAGCGTATAGAATATCTGCTCGAGCTGCATTGCAGCATCCTTATTTTAAAGATTTGGATTTATCTAAACTGCCATCAGCTCCAAATTAATGAGCTACTATCGGAAGGTTAAATGTATATTGCTCAGATTATGACATTTTAATTGTGTGACTATGTAGAGAATACGTCTCAGAGTATCCAGATAAGTTAATTTATTCGGGCATAAGAACGATTTATAAATTTTTGTTTTATGACTTTATTTCTCAAATGGGGAAAAATTCCTGAAAGGAATATTTATTTCATATTGCCCTACAGTTACGTTTTGATAAAATTCCGAGTGAAGGTTTCTAGAAAGGAACAACTATGTCATGATAAAAATACCAGCAGCTTGAGACTTTAACGAGTCACCATTATCGTACAAAAATGCACAAAGGCACACAAGAATGCAGGATAACATGACGATATTATCTATTTATTAGCACTTACTTTAACGTATTACTTACAATTATCATTTATTAAGTTAAATTAAGCTCTTATCGAGTGCCTTTAGGTACTATTTTATCACACAGCAAAGGGGTGAGTTGTATTTTCACATCCTGATTTTATCAGAAATTGCTTGTAACTTAATTTTAAAGAAATCGCTACTGCCACGTGTACATATCACTACAAAATTTCACAGTCTTGTTGAAATATATCTTTTGTACTTTTAATCTCAAATAAACGACGAAATGTTTTAATACGAAGATGTTTCTCGATGTCGTTGTTTTTACAAACCTCGACATTTATACCATGATGCTATTAATGTATTCGCTGCATAAGACAGTGTGCCATTGTATCAGCGATTTATTCGACACTATAATGTTTTCTCTTATCTTGTAACGTGAAAATTAATTTACGTTAATACGGTTAAGGAAAGGAAACCGATCGTGGTATTACTGCTTCTTGGAACAACCAACTCGATTCATTTGTGGACGAAGATGACTCACTGCGTGCAGCGCTGTAGAAAAAATAGTTGGTACCCGCGTCTTAATTTTTTCTTTTTGGATCAGTGAAAGTATCTATTTCGGATGGCCTTAAAACTCGGTGAAGTTAGAAATTTTCATTTCATTTTCTACAAGCTAGAGATTACCTGATAATAAAATGTATTTAGATCGTTAGATATGTATATTCATTTAATGTTATTTATTAATTACACTTGCAATTTCAGTTAGACAAAGAAGTAGGAGACCAAGCTAGGATACTTCTGTTTATATATGGACGCTAATTAATTTTTGTAACGAAGAAATTTTTGAAAGTAAGCTGTACTTGTTATACCTTTCATTCTCACGCGACTTTATTTTTTAGCGAATGACACCATGAAATAGTTTGTATAAAAAGGGAATTGGGAAAATGATTCAATTTTTCCAGTTTCCTTAAGAATACCGTGTTTACTCGGCACTGTAACGGTCTATTCAAAGCGTGCGTGACTCGCAATTGGATTTAGAGTGGGGAACGTCTCATAAAATCCTCCATTCAGCATAGTGTTTACAGTACCAGTTCAGAGATTGACAACGCCACTTCACCGTGAGTAGACTTTCTTCGCTGCCTTAGCATTTTTAACAGACCGATAGATTCCGATTTCCTTTCTCATTCACCTTAATTTCTAAACATGTAAACCATTCAATGACTTCAATAATTAAACGTATGTGTTTCTGTGCAGTCCAAGACTCTTCCCGAGAACAACAGCTTATATCACTGAAACGTTTCCCGTACAATTTATTACACGGTAAACGAATTACATTTCGATTTAAATATATTCCGGAGAGTCGTTTAAATTATAGTATTTCATTAAGGAAAGCGTAGCAGTTGAAAATAATGGTACTTCCTGTCGTCGTCGTCTCGTGAAAAAATGAATAATTCCTCGGAGAAAGCAAATTATCCCGGGAACACTTCGCTGAAAGAAGCGACGCGAGACACCGAGATGTGATATCCGTTAGTTATATAAAGATGAAATACTATGTACTTATGTAGCTCCACATCTTCCGCTAGATTCATTGCGTATCGCTGATACACAAGAGTACATTGTCTCTGTATTAGTCACGATAACCATGCATTAAGTTTTTTTGATAAACCAGGAAAAGAGCAAGGTCACTGGTCTTGATACTCTAACCCGGCGCGTCGCTCGCTCTGCTTTTTTTCCTTAGTAGAAGAACAATGGGATATGTGTCCCACCGGATGTCCAAGAAAATTTTTTGCTCGCCGCTTTTGTATTAAGGGAATGAGTCATAACGTAACGTGTACTTACAAGAAATTTCATGTCGTTCTGAACAATTGTTCACGTCTTCCACGTACTTAACAAAAACGTTTCATTGGAAGTGATGTCTCGAGTGGGTATCTATCTGTATCATTTATTCGCAACGTTCAATAAACGGGAATAAAAGGAATTCTCTGAAAAAGCTCCGTTAATAAATCATTACGTTTAACGGGCTACAGTTGCTTCTTCGTCTAACGCGAATTTATTTCCAGATGAGGGCGTTATCTTTGTTCCTGTTGCTGGTGGGATGCTTCGCGTTGACCAGGGCCCACTCGTACCACATGGGCGAGTGTCCCCTAGTGGAACCGATGCAAGGATTTCAAATGAACAGAGTAAGTTGAGCACCGAAGCTGTGAGTTCAGCGTGAATGCTCGCAATTAATCTTAATTCGGGAATTTTTAGTTCCTGGGGATTTGGTACGTGATACAAAAAACATCCACTGCAAGCAAATGCATCACTTACAACTACACTCGCGGAGAGGAGCCGGGCGAGTACGTTATTACGCAAGATTCTGATCATCCTGTATTAGGTGAGATTAAGAAACGATCAACACAATTAGATTACCGTTAAGGAAGCCTGAAATCGTATCGTCGAGGTGTTTTCGTATTGAACGACGACGATGTTGCGAGACGAGCAAGGTTTTCCTTTATAATAGTAATCATGGGTTGCTTATATATATTACTGGAAGCTTTTGAATTAATAAAGGAGAACGTTGGGTGTCATCGGGTCTCATAAAAGCATGTCAATAGGATAACTACCTGGCAAATGGGATGAATTATCCGTAATAAAGCGATGTCTCTGTGCGCAGGTCTTACACCATTGAAGCACGAGTACCATTACACCGGCGGATTGTCCGTTCCGGAACCAAGTATCCCAGCCCGAATGCAAGTTCGTTTTCCTCTAAGTAAGTATTATAATTCAGTCGTATCGGTATTGACCGTCAACTACTCGAACTTCTTTCGGAAGCCTTTCGTTATCGAAGGAAATATCCGACTTATTCCTACCGTATCGCTAATACCAGTTGTCTTTAAGGTGTAGCCGGGAGCGCGTCCCACGTGATCTTCTCCACCGACTACGAGAACTACGCGGGTGTCTTCACGTGTCAGAAGATAGCGTTCGCCCATCGACTGAGCGCGACTATTCTTTCTAGACATCGGGAATTGGACAAGAGCTACGTGGACAAGATACGACAGAAACTGAGCAACTTCGGCGTCGATCCTTACGACCTCAGTATCATTTCTCAGGCCGGATGCCCGAAAGGTAACAACACTTTGGACATCAACGTTGATCCTAACACCTTCACAGCGGAAAGCTTGGGCAACGCGGTCCGCAAAGCCGGCGAGAAATTGGGCGACGGAGTTCAATGGGTGGCCAACGCGGGAAGCAAAGTTTACCATAAGCTGGCCGGAAGCGAAGAAAAGAGCACGTCCAAACCGGAGGCGAACACTAGGGCCGCTATCAGCGGAGTATTCGAAACGAACGAAGTCGAATGGATCCCTTAAACGTTAGGTTTCAAACATTTCTTTTCACTATTTTAATCCTGACGAGTTTTATTACTTTCCCACGTTGACCGGTTTACGAGCATCGAAATCCTTGCAAGACGCTGTTAATTGTCACGTTCGCATTCGATTATATTAATGAACAGCTTAGCGATAGATCTAGAATGAGAACGAAAGACTACATAATCGATAGACTCATATTTTCACATCGATGACCACACCGAGACGAACTGACCGGAAATCGACGGTATTTATGAGTTTTAAGGCGAAATAAAATCTTTCTTTTGCATATTAGTGCGTTACGCTCTTTTTTTAATACCTATGAAACAACGATCCATGTCTAACATGTTTCCTTGCCGAACAGTTTCTTCAGAGAATCTCTCTCCTTAATATCCCGTCGAACATTTTCACTGATATCACCAATAAAATCTGTACTGTTGCCCGTTATTCGTAAAATGAAAAAGGGACGGACGTAACGTCGCCGACCAGGTCCCGCGCGGTGTTGAAATTAATCCAATCTATTTACAGCGGCGAGTTATACGTTCTACGGTTATAAACATGCGGCGTATCACGTGATTTAGAATCTCCCCAATGTAACGCATCTGGATCATGGGTTCATATATCTATGCCCCTGAATATTAGTATCCTGACGATCCGTTTCAACGATCAGTCTCACAGCGGCCGTGGCGGAGAGACAAAGCCAAGATCCGCGGTAGAACAGTCAACGACATCGAACCCTGCGCGACGTCCTCGAGTTCGCGATCCCGTGCAAGGATATCGGTCGCCGCTGTTAACAGGAAACTACGTCGATTCAGATAACGATTCACCAAGGTACGCTTCACCGCGTTTTCCTCTTTCTACTTAAATAATACCTTGCCCCTAGACGTACACCCACGGAACACGGAAACGCTGCGCCGAATTCCGATCACGTATCCTCGCGAGCATACATTAGTCCTTACAAATTTCCGTCAGCGGTACACGCGGAGAATCGGTGAATAATCGGCTCCGAAACTGTGCGAACGCGGCTCGGAGAACATCAAAGAAGCGGTGACTTTATCCGCGACAGAGCGCGCGTCTCTTTTGTTGCTACAGTGGAAGGATCATGCTCTCACTTTAAACGGAAACTTCGGTTCTTCGTTTTCCTAACAGATTCAAACCGATTATCCTTTTAGATTCTTTTAGACATCGACTACTTGTACAACCACTCCCTGGTACGATACCAAGCCGAATATTCCGGTTGATTCGAGAGCGAGAATCAAGCCTGCCGATAATTCCGTCGTCCCGGAACGTCGAGGACGAACGCAGGAGCATCGCGGAAAGGCGATCACGTACTCGTGGACGGTTGTTGCGCACTGCAGCAGCCCGAGCCGCGTTGCGGTTGTCGGGGGGTGCGCAGAAGGCGCGAGGGCGGCGGTGCTCAGCTGGCAGACCCGTCCACCTCGCTCCTCCTTTCAGTTCGCCCCGTGTTATTTCTCCGGGACTCTTGCGCGCGAAAGCGACGCTTCTCGACGCTTGGTTCCCGGACCGATTCCTAGATCGATCACCGCCCGGAAAGTCGCGGGACGAACGCAGCAATCTCGCTTGATAGCCTCGAGAAGCCCAGTATCCTTCGGTGCACCATCGACACACCGTCTACGCACCGTCTACGGCAGCGCGCGTGCACGAGTCTCTCGCAGGGTAAATCGATCGATTCCTGGCAGCGTGTCCGGGAACGTGTCGCGACTAGCGGCGATTTTCGACGATCGTTTCAGACGTGAGCTTCCCGATAATTTGCTAATTTCGCGACACCTCGTTGCCGCCCCTCTTGGCTGACCCCTCTGGCTTGGGTGCTCGTGTTATTGTTTGTTTGATCTTCGTCGAGGAAACAAACCTACCGATTCGTCACCTCCCAATGTCCGTAAACTAATTAGACTAATCGTTCGGGAATACGTTTGTTATTGTAATTAGCTAACGAGGCGTCGCGATTAGAGTTCCGACACCGAATTCCTTTGGAGAATCCTAGAAACGCGTGATCTCGGTTGGAAAATTGAACGTTTCCGATTGAGCGGAACGGTAATGGCTCGCGATGACTGACCCTCGGAGCAGCGAAGGTGGGTCAGAGTCACCGTGTTGATTCGCCGCGATTAGATAGGGTTGGTCGGTCAATGCGGTTCACAGGTTCAAGAGACAAGTTCGTCAATGAGACCCGGTGACCCAGATTCTCGATATCTGCCTCAATTTCGCGGCGACGCGACGTGGGGTGTTCCGCGCGACGGTTTCAGGAACAGCCCCTCCCTTTCAACTGGGACACTTCGGTTGACTCGATTCAATTAAATTCCTATCGATCCGACGACGGTGCACGCTTCGCCGTTTCACTCGAATCTCGTCGTCTCCCTTCGGTTTTTTCCATTCGAGTTTCGAAATACGTCTCCAGGCTTCCGTACAATGGAAACCGTCTCTTTTCTCGTCGATTAAGCAGGTTCAGGTGTTCGCTGTATCACACGTTAACGGGAATCGAATTCCAAATAGGCCGGTCTCTGGAATTTTGTTTCTGTTTCTGCGTACGCGTCACCTGTTGCTCAAAATGGCGCCACGGGGGTCAAGAACCTGGACGAGACCGTCTCGTTTTTTCAGCGTTGTTCTTTGGAACGGGTCGAAGGATTCTTAATGCTTCTCTAATTTCTGCGTATAAATTAGTGTGTCTGTTGCTCAAAGTTGCGCAATCGCCGAAGAAACTTAACGATAGGAATCTCATTACTTTCGCAAGTTCCTCTAGGACACCGGAGTTTCCGCGCAGCGAAATGTTTGTTTATCTTCTTGAACATCGCCTCTCCGTGTTATTCGTAACGCGGCGCGCAAAGTGAAATTACCGTAATTCGTTCGATGAAATCATAATCCTTCGTCGTTCGCTCTGATTGGGGTCACCGGTGACCCAGACGGCGTAAACTCGTTCTTTAATAGGTGGATATCGATCTTCCCGAAGGCCGCGCGAAAAATCAACGAATCTCTCGAGATTCGCAAGGTCGTTTTTCCCCTCCGGCACCTATCTCTTCGTCCCCTTGGCCGATCGAGCGTTATTCGCGATTTCAATTCGGAAGGACAACCGGTGCGGAGCCTTCGGTGTACCCCGTTCTTTGTTCCTTATCTCCCTGCGACCTTGGCGGACCCGGCCTTGGCGAGATCTTTGAGAACGGTCCCCGGGAAAGGTGAAGCGATCATCAGTCGCTTCGCGCGCGTCACCGAGTCGTTGCTTCGGGTGTTCCTGCCGTCTCCGTCGATCATTCCGTCGTTGTCATTAGCCGCTTAACCGTGCCACCGAGTCCTCTTCGTTTCAGTGTGGCCGACGAGCCCGGGACAAGTTAGATGTTCAGTCATCATAAAAAATCAACGAATTTATCGATTCTAATTCAAAAAAGCTCTCGCGGGCTGTGCAGTTGAATCAGTCAACGAGTATACACGGCGAACGATAGGCGAACGCACCGGTACCTGCATATATTCGAGTAAACAACTAAAGCGAAATGAAAAAGAATCGCGCGTTTATCGAAACGAACGAAGTAATTCATCGTTGAAACAGCTAGTATCGCTTCGAGTTCTCTTTTCCAAGTTTTCCTTCGTGACCCTCCGTCGATCTTCTGCAACGGGATTCCTTGAACGGCGAGGAAATGCTGAGAGCGGCGAAATAATTTTTCAGATAGTTTCCTAAATCGACCGTAAGTGTTTCCACCTTTTTCATCGTCGGAATGCGCATTATTCCATTGAACGAATGATTTGATAGCGGCAGCAATCCGAGAAAGTATATAAAGTGTAACCGTAGCGTCCGTGTTAAAACGGAAGGACGGCGCGAACGGTCCTTCGCGGTTTCCCGTAACGCGTTACGCGTTTCTGCGCCGGCGAAAGAACAGAGGAGCGATCTAGGAAATACGAAACGGTATGCAAATGTGTAACGTAAGCATAATGAATCGAGACGCAACCTGCAAGGACGTCGGAGCACCTTGCTGACACCGCGGGGATAGTCGAAAGAAAAATTATGCTAATAACGGAATCGTACGGTTCTTCTATTGATGTTGCTTCGATGAATTGATTTTGAAACTCGTCTGCGGGCGAGGACGACCGCTTGATCGGTTTCTTTCTGATCTCGATCTTAATCGATAGTCTTTCGGCTCGACGCGTAGGTTGCCTCTGAAACATTCGATCCGACCCGGTCGAGGAATTTCTCCTCGATCCTCCATTCATCTGGACTGTTAGTTGGCCAATTAAATCGGGTAATCGAGGGTCCACTGTATATCGTTTTGCAGCAACGAACGAATCATTCCACGTGCTTTAATTGATCTACCCCCTATCTAGCTCGTTAAAGCAACCGGAATTCCTGCAGGGCAATCTGTCTCCGGGCCAGCGTTCAACGAGGAACGATTAACGACGGATTAAAGAAAGAAAACGTCACGCTGTCCTGTCACGTAACGCAATCAGTGTTCATTAGGCCTCCCGTAATCCTGGATCGCTGGAACACCCGGCCTCCCCTCGGACCTTCATCGGGGACACTGGATTTCGCGCGTTCACCGCCACGAGATCGTTTTTATGCGTCAACGATTCTTTCGCGGCGAAGATAAATAGACGTTGTTCTCGATGACGACGGTTAATTGCCGATTAATGCGACGGTTGGCGTGTTAAGTACTATTCGCTGTAAACTTTGGTCAAGGGAGGATTTTCTCTCGATGGAAGTCGGAACGGACAAAGTATTTCTTTACTGTGCAAGACTGTACGACGAGATCGGCACGAAAGGAACCGCCGGACAAAGAATGCACTGTCAGAAGCCTCGTCGAACGAACATTTTGAATCGACGTCGTTCACGGCGCGCGCCGGTATTGGCTAACAACGATCGGAGCAGAAAACAGTATATTTCAATTAGGAAATAGCTGGGTCACCCACCGTGTCGCTTCGCTAATTCAATACCATAAAATTCTCATTAGCTCTCCTCCTGCGCGACACTGTTGCGTTAGCCGATCTCGAAGGAAATTTCCTGCTCGCACGGTGTAATTATTCAATCGCGTGTATCTCTGTATTTTTAAGCGAAATGCACTTGTAGCGCCAATAATGTTAGATAATATTTGTCTAGTCCACGACGGAGTGGCTTAAACATTGAGTAATGTTTATAAATCGTTGACCCAGTGTCCCCATTGAAGATAACGACGCGTTTGTTGACAATCGATCGGGAATTGTTTATTTCCACGGCGGAGCGAGAAAACGAGATGTAAAGCGTGACCTTAGGCGATCGGCGAATGATGTCATTGGCGATCGGCGAGGCAATAATCGCGTCTAAAACGTTTTAGCGCTGTCCGTCCTCGTCCGCCGCTAATTTAAATATCATCGCACGAGATCGAAGACCCGAGCGGCGTTTCGAAACGATCGAAACACTTGTCCAACCGTTGAATTCGCCTTTCGGAATTGAATTTTCAGATGCTGGCGATAGCGCTGTTGCTGGCGGCGATGCTGTCGGGCTACGAAGCCGAGGGTAGCGTCCTCGTCGCGGACATGGCCATGTCCAGGATGGTGGAACTGAACGCGGACGCGCCGTTCTGCGCTCTGTACACCGACCGCGGCGTCATACAGAAGATGATTCTCGGCGCTGATCCGAAGAAAGTCCGGCAAATCTCCACCAATCTCGTCAAGGACCTCGAGGAGACCTGCAAAGCTTCCCGAGACAAGGGAAAGGTACTGTCTCCGCGCCGCGAAATGTCAGAGGCGGGGATCGCTCCCCGGCGATGTCATGTTTTCACGAGTCACGTGTACCCTGCGCGCAGACTGCTCTTGAACTCTAAACGGGGAGCAAGAAGGTTGATCTCGGTGCTGATTGGCAAACTCCATCGTCGCTTTGCACAGCAGAATTTCGTAACAAGTCGATCCGACGGTGACGCAACCGGTCTTCTTCCGATTAAAGTCAAACAACCGTGTTACCCTGCAATTTGCCTTTCAAACTGACCGCACAGACTACTCGGTTGTAATGTTCCGCAGATTGTTGGCTTGCCGAGACTCGTTTCAACTTTAACCTGAACTAGCAGTATTTCAGGTTTACTTGAAAAAATATCGCAACATAGATTTCTGCCAATACGCTAATTGGACGCACTAAGTAAAACCGCCATGCTTGTACGACGGCGTTGCTCCGTTGAGGGTTAAGTTGTAAATTCCTTTCTCTACTTATCGAAGACAATAAGAATTACGATAAGTGTAAACTTACGCGTAAGCGTGGTACCATCGAGCAACAATTAAACGCACGAACGTTCCATTGACAGAACCAGCCCGCAGGCAGTGGACTGATCTATCCTGGAACGAAATGGTGCGGACCGGGTACTCTGGCCGAGTCTTACAACGATCTGGGTCACCACGCGTCGGAGGACGCCTGCTGCAGGGAGCACGATCATTGCATGATCACGATCCCCCCCGGGGAGTGCAGCCATGGCATTTGCAACAATTCGCCGTTCACCAGGTCTCACTGCGACTGCGACGCCAAGTTCCGCAGGTGCCTTCAGAACCTGAACTCGGAGGTGGCCAACACTCTCGGCGCTCTCTTCTTCAACGTCGTACAAGTGACTTGCTTCGAGGAGAGACGACCGTGCTCCCAGTGGCAGAGGTAGGGCATAATCCTCGGTTACCCGTGCACAGTGAAAACAGAATAATCGGATCGGTAATCGTTTGCAGCACTGATCGCTCGCCGACTTTGATGATCTTGAAATATGTTTTGGACTTGATTCTGAACATGTATGCGCGTCTAGAAGATATTTCAAGGTCAAGCAAATCGGTCAGGAATCAGAGCTGGAAATAATTAACAGCAGATCTTTGAAGATCGCTCTGAAATCTTGAATCGATCGCCGATGTCTTCTTAACGGTTTCCCGACTGAATCCCTCTAGTTGCCCCCTGAAGTGGGCACATCCGCCAAAGTACGAACTCCCGGAACCACGGCGAGACCACTATGCCAAGAAGATCCTCTTTCTGAGGACGGTTCTGCAGGCTATGCGCCAGGCGCTGAAGCTGAAACAACATCTTCTCGGAGGAGCTCGATGAAACTGTAACTCTTTGGAAATTGCTTTTTCAGGGTACCGGTGGTGGTGGTGGTGGTGGTTTTTCCCAGAGCATCCTTGAACCTTGCAACAGCTAACAGTTGCGTTGACGTCGATCATTAACCGTAGCACGTCTGATCTGTTTTAGAAACGGGTACACAGAATCTGTGTCGAACCGGTTGTGCTCGCAGTTCCATTTCCGTCCCAGCGATAAGTATGTGCCGCTGATGCCTCTGAACATCAACTAGCTACTGCGAAAACGCAAGAAGAACGGACCCGACAGCCTTTGAAGAGCTGTTCCAGTTAACAGAGTTTGAGTGAGCGGGATAATTGCGCGCACGTTTCACCATTTGTTCGTTTCACCTGCGCACCACGCTTGTGTGTTCTCCTCGAATGAATCCCGGGACACGAGGAGCGGAACGCCGGCGTCCGTTTTCATTCGGGAGAACGACGAGCTCGGTTCAGTTTTTCTCATTCCGATCCACACACGCGTAAAACAGGGTTCAATTGAAAGTCGATGAACCTGCTCTCGAAGGTATCAATAGGAATTAGTCGATAAAACGGGTCCACTCGAAACTGAGAAACAATTATGGAAATGTGACAACGCTCGGGTTCGTTACACGTCGGCCGGTGTCCTTGCGATTCCGCCGCGATAAACGCGTGCACGCGTCGAGGTCAACGCGTGCGGGTCTCTTCGTTCGCCCTTCTTGCGCCGCTTTTTACCGGTGAAACGCGGCTCGCGAGTAAACAAATTTTAATCGGCCTCTTCGGATCATCGGCTGTATTCAACTTGAGGAAACGAAGCGAAGGGCGATCGGTGTAAAGCATCGTCGAGGAAATTCCGGATCTTTTTACAAGTCCGCGCGAAGTTGATTGAATCGTCGATGCAATCCACATTGAACATGCGCCGTCGGTAATGCGATGTTACAATTACTGCTCAATTTTACTCTTTAATTGTATGCAACTTTGAAAATAATTGCGATAAACCCTCTGGCATCGTTGCGCGAAATTCTCATATCAGGAATGCTCGGGTAGCGCACAATGGAAATTCAGCGAACGAACCAAAGATAATTCGGACTGTCGTTTTAGAGACGGTGAAAGGGGGTATTATAGCAACTATGTTACTTCAACAAGGTTCGCGTTTCTTGCATATTACTCGTCGCCTTTGCTATCCCGCGAAATGTGCATGCCATTGCACAATGAACGCGTAGCATTGCAACGATCCCTTTTAGATTAAGCTCCTTCGTTAAATTGATGAAGCAGCGGTATCAAGTGTCTTCGATTTTATCGGAGATTCGATGTTTCCCATTTTCCTCGATGAGATTCGATTTGGGAAAAATTGTGATCGGAGGGGCAGAGAGTTATGAAGTATCTTGCGATCGCTTACGCATCAGTTTAACGAAGTTTTAAAGCACCAATGGATTCCTCAAGGTTTACGATTTTCTATCTTTGATAGTTTAACGGTGTTTCTACATAGATTACACCAGTTTGAACAACTTTTCAAGTTCTACGTAGCGTAGCTTAGCTAGTAGCGTTTTAACCGTTTGAATACTCCGCAGTATAATTTGATATATTCAAACATACAATTATCGGATCAACTTATCTAACTATTTTTAATAGTGCGTAGAGAGAACATAGATATTTAACAGTTACAGTACGAATGAATTAATGGCGACGATTTTGCACAATCTTTACTGTGATTCAGATAATTCAGATGTAAGCTTGCTACAGTTTTACGCGTAGATGTAAGCAACTGTCCGTTATTTGCGGCTCCACAGTCGAAATGACCGATAGAACCAGAAAAGATATCCGGAAACTGGCGTTACAACCCAGGACGACACCCGGATTTGTTAATACCTCCAGAAGGTCAGCCGGGAAAACGTGCAATTAATCAACTGAGTTACAATTAACTTTCCACGATACCTCAGTGACATTATTATTTCCTAACGTCCTTCAATCGACTTTGATGATACGGTACCGATCTCCATAATGCAATGAAAGCTGATGCGTCGACGTGAAAGACACATATCTGCATTCGACATTCTCGTGAGAATGTTTGATCGATAATCATTAAATCCACCTTGAAAGCAAGACATACCAGCGGAAATATATTTTTGAATATTTATTGTATAGTAGATTGGATTATCGAGATTGTACCGTGTTAAACGAGTGCGGGATAAATATACGTATATAAGTAGCCGACTTTTTAATTGCTATGTACAATACTAGGGTATGTTAGTTTATTATAACGTATAAGTCTTTATAAGTAATACTGCTTGTATTACGCTATTTATACATACTTTATCGCAATATGATACTCTTCCGAATTACCGTATAATTATAATGATTACCGTAAACAGTCCACGTTAAGTACACAGATGGGAATATACACATATATATATTTTAGCTCACGATACGTATCACGCTTTAATAGTGCAGCTGTTATATCTTCTGTTTAAACAAAGTTAATCCATTCCAAGCGCGAACGATTCCAAGTGATGTTTTAAGGAGAGAATCAAGTGTTGTCAGAATAAACGGCTACCTTTCAGCGGATCACATATTTCTTCTATTCTAGAATAGTGTTATCTACGCTGTAGATTGAAAGATATTTGTTTCGTGAACCGATTGATGTATTCCGAGTTTCAATGGTACATTTAAATTTCGCTGTATCGCACGCGCGACACCTATCGAGCGTAATCGACAACTCGGCGCGCTCTATACTCAGTGGTCGAGGCGCGGAGTGGGAGCGTGTCAGTCCTAGATGCTGTGATGGATGAAGTTTCGTCAAATGGTATGTCTTTTTCGAGGAAAGTTGAAAGTTCTTTACGGACGAAAGTGAACGGGTTCACAGTGTAGAAGGTGGAAAGGTTTCTAACGTCGCGTCTAAGCGAAACGATCGAACGAGGATTTCGCGTGGTACGGTGGACGCTTCGCGGATCGCGTGGGCGTCCTGCCTTCCGAGTCTCCTGGCCCACGCTCTTCACGAGACTTTATATACGCGTTCTCCTCGATTGCTACGTTCCCCGATAACATGATCGTTAGCGTACCACGTTATTGGAGATCCATAATGATTCAGGTGACACGTTTCATTAATTGACAATTAAGGAAACCCCTCGAACCGTCCTGTTTATCGTCAGCTGGCTGATATAACTAGCTTTCCCTTGGTGCTTACCTAACGTCAACCGTGAATCACGTTTCCTTCTTACCGCACGTCCCCGACGCGCCCGGTTTTTCACGGTGTCGGGACGGATTTGTTTTCGCAGCTGTTACCAGCCCGATGTTTTCCAAATTAAACGCTGAATCGAGCGTTTACGGCACCGTCGCACAGTGGTCGATTTCATGAATCTAAGTGGACAAAAAGGTAAACACCGATTGTTTACAGTTTGCTTCATAGGTCATCTGTAGGTAGATAAACACCGTGCATGAATAATTCAACTTAATATTTATTCTCTGTTCCTCTTCTGCGGAGAACTATAATCCTTTTTACATAAGACTTAACTGGAACAATCAAGGCTTCAGAACAGTCCGTGACAAAGACCTAGCAACTGAATTTTGTTCACCTATATTTGTAAAATCGGTTGTTGTGCATCAGATCCGTGAGAGAAGAGTACACATGCCTATGCGTATGTAAATATTTAAAACTATAAGAAAGTTCAAGGTTAGCCTATCAAGCGCAAAGTTCGAAAAGGAGAAAGTTTCTCTGTTGAATCGTGTATTCGAAAAGCTTGTTGGTATCCGGATTGTAATTTTCTATTTGATCTATGTTAGACCAGGCAAGCGGGGAAAGTGGAGGGACAATAACTTGCGCCGGTTGCCTCAATGCCATTGACGAGGATGAGTTCATCCAGGCTCTAAACCAGATATGGCACATCGACTGTTTTCGGTACATACAAGTTACAGAATAATAGATATTACTTCTAACTAGTTTATCCCAGTTAATGCGTTTATAATACTCTTAACAGTTTAAGCTAATAACATCAATATTAATTGTGAAGATACCACTAAAGTAAACTTCCAAATTTTTAGGCTTTAGAACATTGATAAAGAAGTGGAATTCCTTCCTGTTTAAACCTCCTTTACAAAATGACTGTTGCCTGCCATAGGTAACTCGACGACTCCCTTATTTCATGAGTAACCAAATGTACAAACCCGTTTATCCATACGATTGTAAATATTTTAACGTGATATTAATCAGCAATGTACTGTACATATCAGATGAGCGGTTTCAATGACTTGGATTTATTTTAATTGAACTTCACAATGAACAAAGTTTTACTTTTGCAGGTGTTCGGCGTGTGATGTTGGTCTCTCATCGTGGTACTTTGAGAAGGATGGCTTACTTTTTTGCAAGGATGATTACTGGGCTGCTTACGGGGAAGCTTGCCAAGGTTGCGGCCAAATCATCACAGGTCCTGTTATGTTGGCAGGAGATCACAAATTTCATCCAGAATGTTTTGCCTGCAATTCTTGTGGAGCTTTCATTGGAGATGGAGAGAGTTACGCTTTGGTCGAAAGATCCAAACTCTATTGTGGATGTTGTTACAAGAGGCAAATGCAACCGATCAATAGGACAGCTAATTGTCCATTCGCCAGAAAACCGCACAGCATCAGACTAGTGGAAATACCCCCAAACAGTTCTGATCCGGAGAAGCAGAGGGGAATAAAACTGACATTAGACACAACTCCTAGTCCTCGAAATTGTGGAGCTTTGCTTCGTATATCAGAGTATGTATATAAACTATGTACAATATACATTTATATCCTTATATTGTATTTCTTCTGCTTACATTCGGTATTATTTATCAGAACATGTTAAAAACGATTTACCGTTTTGCTTTGTTACAAACGTTTTATTGTCACGTGTATCTGATTTCAATGCCAAGAGTAAATTTTAATTATTGAAAAGTATACGTATTGCAGTTCTAAAAGGACCAATAATTTTGTACAATATGAAATTATACCTAATAAAGCTTTTCTAAAATTCTTAACCTTGCATGAATAATTCTGTGGTATTTAAGAACTGCTATAGATTGCAGCCTCTAATAACTTTGAACTAAAACACAGGTTAATGAGAAATGTTCGTGGAAAGATCAGTAAGCTGCTGGCCTCTGTGATGGAGGTTCTATTTAGGCTATGCTGCCACTTCTCTAATCATAGGTACAGCATAACAAATAAATAATATGCACTAGATATTGTGTCTTTTATTAATTAGGTGTGTGTACTTGGTAGTTGCTACTTAACTGCACGTGAAATACATATCTTGTGCAACATAGGTATCTTGTTTAAAATATTTAATTGTTCATTTAATAATATATATACATATTATACAATCTCGTAAGCATGTAACATATCCTGGATGAAATGATTGTTCATACATTTTATTTTGCAGTACATGATTGTACTACATTATACTAATTTCAAGACCTTATTTATCTTCCACATATGTATGTGTTTATTACAAAAAGTTTAGCATTTCGTACGTTGTATATGTCGTGCCTATTCTGTGTATTAGTTTATGAAGGATGCAAGAATGCTATTCAATATTCAACAATAGCTTAATCTACAAATATCTGCCCTGTTTCCTATTGTAATACAATTGTATGTGTTATTTAATATGTGTTCCGATATCAATTAAATGCACACGAAACATTGCATGTATATTGTCACAACACTATTTACAAACATTGGAAATGTCACGCGCAACGTGTTGCAGACTGAATGTATCCAGTGATCTCATATCTTTACACATTGGGGATCGAATACTTGAAGTGAACGGTACTCCGGTAAAGGATCAGCCCATAGAAAGTATAGAAAACCTTATACAGTATTCAGATACAGTTCTACAGGTGAGTTTTTTGTTTCATAAACGAATTGTCGCGCAATCCTTAATTCTGACTGTGAATGTGGATACAAATGCATTCATTTTTCAGTTGACCATCGAGCATGATCCGGATGCAGTGTCACGAAGACCAACCTATTCTTCACCGTCTGCGGCAATGTTGACGTCGATTGGAAGTCCAAGAACCAGTTCGGAAAGTAAAGAACGGTTATTCAAACGGCGAGATGAAGGATACATCAGCGGAACACGCAGCAGACAACTCAGGAGGACGCGAGATCCTATGCACAAGGAACGCAGCAGTTCCATGTCGCGACTGCTCGACGGGTACAAACGAATAGAAACATTTTTCGTAATAGCAAATATCGAACTACAGTACTGTAGCGTATAATATATTCCAGGTCTTCGGCAAATCCCACATGCGACTTGAGTAGGACAAGGTCCTTTCGGGTCGAGCCAAAGAACCAAAGGATATTTCGTGCCAGTGATTTAGTAAAAGGTGAACTCCTAGGTACAGGGTTCTTTGGTCAAGTGTTTAAGGTTACACACAGGGACACGAACGAAGTTATGGTGCTCAAGGAATTGTACAGAGTCGACGAGGAAGCTCAGAAAAACTTCTTGAAGGAGGTAAGATCATTCTATAGACGCTGTTAATTTCTCGATGCTCGTGCAGTCACCACGTAACAATTGTATCAATTCATTAGGTGGCCGTGCTGCGTTCCTTACATCACAACAACGTTCTCCGATTCATCGGAGTTCTGTACAAGGACAAAAAGCTTCATTTGGTTACGGAATACATAGCGGGTGGAACGTTACGAGCTCTGCTTCACGATACAAACGAAATCTTGCCGTGGGAACAGCGAACGTCCTTCGCGAGAGACATTGCCTCTGGTATGGCTTACCTACATTCCATGAATATAATTCACCGCGACTTGAATTCGCACAACTGTTTAGTGCGCGAGGATAAGACTGTGGTCGTTGCTGATTTCGGTCTGGCAAGGATAATACAGAACGGCAATTCTCCGGATAACCGTAAATATAGTAGACATTCCGACGGGGAAGCGAAAACATCGAAAAAGGAGCGAAAGAAGAGGTACACAGTGGTGGGAAATCCGTATTGGATGGCTCCCGAGATGATGAAGGGCAACAAGTACGACGAGAAGGTCGATATATTCAGTTTCGGTATCGTCGTGTGCGAAATTATAGGACGAGTTCAAGCCGACCCTGATTATTTGCCGAGATCCTCGGACTTCGGTCTGAACCAGAACGTTTTCAAAGAGAAATTCTGTTCGAACTGCCCGGAAACTTTCTATAGGATAGCCTTTCTCTGTTGCGATTTGAATCCCGACAAAAGGCCGCCGTTCGAACTGATGAAGGTTTGGCTGGAGAAATTGGCGATGCATCTGGCGGTGGGCGCCGAGTTACCGTCAGACCTGGAGTTTGATATTAGGAACTATATCGGGTCCAGCACAAGTACCAGCGAGTCGACGACCCCGGACGCCCTCGCGCCGCAATTGAAACCCATAAAGGAGGGGCAGGTTCACCAGGAGAAGAAACGGTGCAGCGGCTGCGACGACAGCACCCTCGAACGCGAGGAGTCCGTTCAAAGTGGTAACACGTTACAAGTGCCTGATGTGATCGGTTCGAAGGGAAGGTATACGAGGCAGAACAGTAAAACGAACGAGTCGCCTGGGAACGCGGGTCGATATTCGCGTCAGAATTCCAGGTCCAAAGATACCAGCGAGAAGCCTGACGTAATTATCTCTCCCGAAACTAGCGGGTTCGCCGGCTGTTTCGCCAGGCAGAGGTCGAATGAATCATCGCCCCGGCTTTCGAACGACAAAGACGGTTGCGTCAAGCAAAACGATCAAACCGAGTGTAACTTGAAGCGAATAGCCACGATCGAGAAAATCAGGTACGTGGGCAGAGCCAGTCCGTGCTCGTTATCGGACAGTCCTGAATACATTATCGATAATAAATGCTCGTACAAGGTTAACAATATTAACAGCAAGTCGGAGAAACCCAACGACTATCATCTGGGATGCCACGCCAGAACGAAGTTGGAGAGCAAATTCAAAATACCGGACGCGAATTCTGTTGGCTCGTATCTGAGGCATATCGGCAAATCTATGACTGCCACGGAGAAGGATAATAAAGTGGAAAGTCAGAATGACAGTGACTCGAAGAAGGTCAACAACGAAAGCGCGAAATCGGTTGGTTCCTACCTGAGAAGGACAAAGATTTCGCCGACAAAAGAGACACCAAAGAGCGCATTCTCACCGCAAAATAATCAATCCGAAGCTGGTACTTCGTTGCAATCAAAAGTAACTGTAAGCGCAGGGGAAACGAACGAGAATGAGCCGGGGAACGAGAGGAGGGTGATCAGGCAGGACAGCAACGTCTCCGACATTGGGAGCATTCTGTCCAGGCAAGGGAGTCTGACAGTATTAGACTGCTCGGCGAAGTACAAGGACATAGCGTACAAAGAGTATTCTCCGTTTAATACCTTGCAGAAGGAAGATCTCCGAAAGAACGTCAATCTTCATTACACGGATAGTCTTTACTCGAACACGAGTCTCTCGAAGAATGAGGATTTCCTTATATACAACACAGAGAACGAGACTAACGCCGAGAAGAAAAAAGACTGCGTCGCGTCCATCCAAGACTCCGGTAAGCTAGAGTCTGATTCTAAGAAGTCTGTGTACGACAGCAAGATGCCCAACTCGTTGGCGGATTACAGCGGATGTTACAAGAACGTGGATCTCTGTAGACAGGACAGTTTCGGTTCCGACAGCGCGGTGGGCACCATGAGGAGTGATTTCTTCGCGGACCTAGACTTCGGTCAGTTGAGGGACGGTAGGCATACACCGGATCTGTGTCACACACCTGACCGGTGTTGCACACCGAACCGGGCAACGTCGCCGATCGAGAGCACAGCCTTGTGAGACGTCGGGATTGACAGAGCACCGGAGTAACGTACTATCTTTATAACAAGACAAAAAAAGGAAACGAATCTCACCCTACTAATTTGATCTCTGTGAGCTAGCAGTTTAACTCTTTTCTAGAACTGGTAGGATAACTCGTTTAGGTTTTAACTGTCGTAACCCCGAGAAACCATATGGGCCGTTCAAGTGTCGTATTCCTCCTGGAAAATGTCGCCGGCATCGCGCGAGAACGCTCGGACGAAACAAGTATTATTAACAATTTGACGTCCAGTATTAGTGAATCTTACTGCTATTGGTTTCTATGGTCTTCAAAGTATTTTCGATACTACGTGTATGTCAGTGGTGCATTCCTGCATAATCTTGCCTGGCGGTTTTCTACGAGCGCGAGTCGATTGTAATTTATAAGACTAACGAAAGCATTCCATCCAGAATTCTATCTGATGCGTTCGAGATCGGTAGAACTAAAACGCGTGCTTAGAGAAATATGGTCTAAGAGAGAGAGAAAGAGAGAGAGAGAGGGAGAAAACTCACCTGTTTCTCCCATTTTCGGAAGTACGGGATTATACTTTAAAGTTGTAAACATTCTGTAGAGTCACTTTGTAGAGTAGAATGTAAAGAAAGAACGATATCTTTTATTGGGTACATATGTACATCGTGCTGTAAAATATTCTCCACATATACGATGGTGGTGTGCATGTACAGATGATCGACATGTATAAAACAGGAATCGAGACACGTCAATTATATCTTTGTTACCCGTCTCGACGATGAAACTCTATGCCAATTTGATATTGATTATCTCCGTTCGTTCCGAAGGATTTCGACGTTGCGCGTTATACTCATTGTTCTTATTTATTTCATCGGAGACACACCGGATACTCGCATTTTGCCGTAGCAAAGATATAAGGGATGCTAAAGATTATATAGTATCATGTGTATAATACGAAGAATGTACATATAATTTTGTATATATACTCCAACGATTCGTCACGTTCAAAACACTGTTTACAAAACATATATTTAACAGGAAAAAAAAGAAGCTTTATATTGATAACCTAGAGACGGAAGTTCTTTTGATACTATTAAACGAAAACATTGTACTTCTATTCTAATCGTAAGCGAAAATGTTCCCTAATTTTATCGAAAATAGAATGGAAAGCGAGATGCAGCATTTAAGCTATAGTTTACAGTTGAATTAATGATTCTTCTGCTGAGAGCAAGAGAGAATGAGCGAGAGAGTGAGAGAGCGAGAGAGAGATATTATATATATATATATAAGATAAATTTGTTTTTATACCAAGTATTTATAAAAGAATCTTTGGCAATTTGCGTTGCATGCGTTCGAAAGCAACTATCGTTTACTTTCGTTAATCGTGTTTTCATTGCTACTCAACGATTCTTTTAATTTCACTTTTTAATCGGTGCGTTCGTAAACATTCGGAGTTTATTTTCTTTTTTCCTCTGTATCTGTTTCCGGTAGAAAGACTATTTTATTGATCGGTACGCGGCTGTTACGAAAGAGAAAAGAGCATTTCAATTAATTACACCAAATAAAAGTTTATTATCTGTGATAAAAAGTGTTTTGAAGCTGTCTGTAACAGAACAGATTGTCCGAAGCAAACTGAAAGGGCCGCCGGCCAACAAAGGAACCCCAATTACTTGCAACGCCACACGAACGAGCAGGGAGGCGATTCGTTTGAAATGTTATTTCCGCGGATGACACGTGCAATAAACAACTATGCGAGCGACGCTTGTACCAGACAAGTAAAAACAAACACAAGTAATTACGGCTTAACGGCGAATCTGTGCGAAAAGTATCGAATACCTAAAGCGTGGAACGTTACTCGAAACAATGGAGACGCTCGAGATAATTGTTCGATCCGGAGAAGAAAGCGTGGAACGTTTCAAAGTCCTCGGGCAGTTTCAAAAATTGAAATTCGTCGATGCGTCTGTAGAATGTCTCGAAGTGTGCGCCACGATCCCAACGATAGGGAAAATCGATCGAAGTGTCTCACTTTTGGAGAACTCCCGGAACGAAGCGTGCGGTGTTTAATCAAACTGCGTAGCGGAGAGGACTAATAACCGAGCGAATGTATTAATAATCGCAAGTATATTATGTAAAGCGGCAGAGACGAACTCGTTGCGAAACGCGTTCGGCGAACAGTATTAGACTCGTTCTCGTTGCTTTCTCGTGGATAGGCGCATGGCGTCGATTGAGAGATATCAGTGCGGACGCTATGCCTGAAGATGTCTATATTCGCAGGACTATTCGTGGTCGACCCGTGACGAGCGTAGCGTAGAGGTCTGTAGACACGCGACGGGCACAACGGAGAACCGCTCTGTACACTTGTGTAAAAAGAGGAAGAGGAGCCTCCGCGACGAGACGTTAGACACATTATTTTTATAGGGTGCGCAAATCGGTACGCTCCTCGCGCTCGAAGACGACGGGAACCTCGAACGCGAGGAGTCGACTGTTTACAAATTATTTTTCTTTACTCGGCGAGAAACGCATGTAACGAGATCGAAGCATAAGCCATTACTCGATGTAACTCTGTTGAAATGGAAAACCGAATTGAGAAGTGGACTCTCGGCGGACGGTCGAGATACTCTTGATCGAGGTTGAACAGTTTCGAAGGGAAATTTCTTTTTTATCTTGACGTTTAACAAGTAGAATTAAACGAGCAGCGATGCTCGCAGTTAATAAAAATATAGGTACGCGTGTCTTGACTTGATTCTTTCATTTCGAATATCCAACGGATCGAGAAGTTTGCCTGGCGGGTCTCTGCTAGCGGAACCGAGAAAAACTACTGAGTTCTCGAGGAGAAGCAATAATTCGTTCTGTCGGGTTCAACGGGGACTAGCCGATGCGTTTGGGAACGGACTGGAAACGATTCTAGGATAGAGCGTTGTCGGAGGAGGATGATTTTTCTATCGAGTTCAGTAGCCCTGGTCATCGACGACCTTTCCGAATAATTTCGCGTGCCGAAACTAATGCAAAACTAGGGAACAATATGTTTCTGATTAACATTCTAGTAAAACGGAGAAAAGAAAGGAAAAATAAATGGTTGAGAGTGTAAGCGGCGTTTCATTTGCTTCATTCCTTGCGTGGCATTCGAATGTTATGTTAAGAGGAACTAAATATTAAAGAGAGTTTAAAATTTAGTCAATTTATAATGAAATATACGATTTAACGCAAATAGATTGTTTATTGAACTCCTATGTACTGGAATTAATAAAACTTTATAATTCGATTCGGAGATAAAAGTATAGAGCATTTTGGCGTTTGATCTTGGAAAGTTGTCAAAGTCCCAGAAGCGAGCTTGAAATAATACCGTAATATAATCAGTAAGAGTTTCAGTAGTTCCCCAGTAAATTAAAATATAATTTCTTTAATTTAATTCCTTTATGGTATCACTTTGAGCTCTTCGACGAATGATTCTTGCCGACTTTTACATTGTACTTTATGAGAAACGCGGCAGGATTCAAATGCTTTGGAAAATTTTGTAATTTAGATGCTGGCGCCTATGGCGGCAAAACGCTCAAACTGTTAGCCAAACGTTATCGACAGGTGAGTGCACGTCGAAGACTGGTAGCGCCTCTAGCGGCAAAATGCTCAAACTGTTAGTCAAAAGTTATCGACAGGTGAGTGAACATTTGATGACTGGTGGCGCCTCTGGTGGGAAAACGCCCAAACTGGTAGCCAAACGTTAACGACAGGTAAGTGAACTTCAAAAACTGGTGGCGCCTCTAGTGACAAAAGACTGAAGCTGATAACCAAACGTTACCGACAGGAGAATGCACTTGTAAAACAATGGAATCTTTAAAAAAATGCTAGAACAAACAGTACAATCTAATAATGTTACATATCGCTACTATTTTACAAGTGCACTGACCTGTGAATAGCGTTTGTCTACCAGTTTGAGTGTTTTGCTATTAAAGACACCAAAAGTTTTCTAAGTGCACTTACCTATCGATAATATTTGGCTAACAGTTTTGGAGTTTTGCCACCAGAGGCGCCACCAGTCATCAATGTTCACTCACCTGTCGATAACTTTTGGCTACCAGTTTGGGCGTTTTCCCAGCAGAGGCGCCAGTATCTAAATTGCAAGATTTTCCGAAGCAATTGATTCGTGCCGCTTTACAGGTAAGGTATAGTGAAAAATCCGGCACGAATTATTTGTTGATACGTTTACAGCGATACCATCGTAATGTTACGTTTATAAAATTAAATATATATGTGTTGATGGAGAGAATATCATATTAAGCTACTTTCTGGAACTTTAAACTTTTATTAAGCTCTCTATTTTGAGTTTACAATGCAATTATGAACTTGGTTTACGATACATTCAATTTCGCTTATTGAAGGATTTGAAGTAACAACAGCTGTACATTTTCACAAATTGCTTATCAATCTTATATTTTTGTAAAGAACCGCAGCAACATGATCTATTAATAATATAATCGCTGGAACTTGTATTTTCCGTAATGCATGCATAAGAACCTATCAATGAGGTTTAGTTCCCGAGTCTGTCTGCCAGATGACTATAGTGTTTTGGTGTCCATGGCGAAGCCTTTTGTCAAAATCAAGTAAAACTACAGAAATATAGATTTCCGCGCTCCAACATTATCGCAGTGCTTCACTGCGAACAATCTGAGCTCAACAACACCTAATTTCAGTCCCTAATTCCAGAGATGTTCCCGTTCCCCTGATTCCTCAATTTCCCAATTCACCGTCTGATGGCGCCGCTGAGATACTCGGCGCGCAACTTCATTATTTCGTAATATTTTTGAAAATCAATTAGCAATCGTTCGTTCCTTCTAATAACCGGTGAATCTGTTCTATCCTTGAAACTTCCCTTGCCGCACCACGAAACAGCCTGGATATTGAAAAATAACAAGCGGAATGCAGTCCACTTTAAAGCATTTTCTTCTTTTCTCCCCAACTCTGTTCTCTTCCAGCCGTTTCACCCCTATCCTTCGGAAATTCGAACAAAATGCACTCCACCGTCTCGTCGAAGCAACGATACGTACCACAATTTCGAAAGAACGCCGGAAATATTGAAAAGTCTTGCAGCGAACTGTCCACGGCCGATCGATTTTCAATGAGAATCGCCGGTGACAGATCGCGCGGCAAGTTTATCCATTGCGGTGCAAGACAAATTGACGTAGCGAAGTCGGATGACCCTCTTAGGTACATCGGTGGCTGACAAACTGGCCGGAGCCCTCTTACAACCCTCTCCGCTGCCAAATTATCGGACTCCTGTGGACAGCGAGCCCATTTATACTGTCCACTAGCTAAGACTTACTAGGGCTACGGATAAAGAGGATCGTACCGATCCGATCAGCCGATACTTCGCCGAAAACGAGCCCGTGATGGATAGCCCTCGCGAGTACTCCCGTTCATCAGCGATTTCGATAGAAATCGGATCGAGGGGACATTTATTTCGGCCGGCGGACCTTCCATTAAGTGAAAAACGCGTTGAAAATTCGCCGAATTTCGATTAGAATCTTCACGTCGGACTGCCGGCCGTTGCGCGAATATAAATAGGTACTTGGACGCACCCGATAAATCGGGAACCAATTTATTCGGCTATCGGTTATCCCGCGTTCCCCGCGAATCGATGCATTATCTCGAATAATCCGCAACGATCTGCACGGCGAGACCACCGAGGATTCAAGATTTCGAAGGATTTTTTCCTCCGGGGGTCCGAACGATCCCTGATGTCCCCGATCTTTAGAAATGTATTTAGCAGTTCCGAATGCCGCGGCGCTTAACTACCTTTTGATCGCACGGCCGTCTCCCGATGTACTTTATAACGTCGCGGCGCTGCACGGAATTACGCGTCTCGTTATTCTCGTCCCGTGCCGCGCCGCGTAACACAGACTGCGTCATTAACTAGAATTATTCGCGAGAAGTAAAATCCTCGCGAAACGCGCCGCGTTTTCGAACGATTCCGGCAGGCATCGTTACGATCTAGGATCACCTTTAAACCTGAACGAATTTCGGATCGACATTTTAGATGCCAACAGCACGAAGATCGCGAAGAAACGCGGTAGTCGATACGCGAAACATTCGAATAAAACAGCTCCTCGCAGGCGCAAAGGGTAAAAAATCTGTGGACCGTGCATAAGGTATTCCGAGTATCTCCAGAATGATTGGGCTCGAGGAGCCATCCCCTCGGTGTGTCCAGGTTGAACGCTTCACGGACGAAAACAGGGGAAAAAGAGAAGGTGGACGAGGTTCGTTGAACGATTGTTATTCGGAGTGCGAAGTCGGATAGCGGAACAGAGAGAGAGAGAGAGAGAGAGAGAAAAAGGAGAAGCGGCGTAGGTGGGTAGGGCAAAAATGTTAAGAGATTGGAGTTTAAAGCCGGGCGAACAATATGGCGGACGGGAATGGAGTGAAACGGGGCAGCGGGGGTGGCTGTCGGATGGAGTGAGTACGGTCGACAGT